TGAACGACCTAACCCTCGAAAGTAAAAAAAATGAAAATGATTTTTCTAAAAATTTTAAAAAAACAAAACAAAATAATCTCAACGACAAGTTAACATAATCAAGCTTAAACATAAAAAGGAGAATGACAATATAAGTAATGACAATAAAATGTGCATGATAAATGATCGAACGTCACCAATATTTTAAGCATGTTATGATTAGACTGGTCGTAAAGCTATGTTGATACTAAAAAATTGAGTATTTTAACCCCCTTCATCTCCGGAGCAATAAGGAGATAATTCGAGCTATGGCCAAATATTCGTTAGCATGATTATTTGACTTTGTTTCTTTTATTCTTAGTTTGTCCAACATAATATGATCTTTCATCTCTTAAAAAAAATCATTGTTTTCATAAGTATGATCGGTCTTTAAAAAAAACACTCCTTTTTAGTCCCCTCCATGATCTTGTAATTGATATTATTCATGAAATGTGAGTATTGTATCAAACTCGTCATATGATACCATCATAAGGATCTTACTTAGATTTGGGTAATAAGAGGTCTTCCTCTAAGAAATCTAAATCGATGACGTCGATCACGTCCTTCCGAATCAGCATGCTCTATCATGTATTTTTAAATCAATATCGTCTACCACGTCTTTTTCAATTAATGTAGTCCGTCACGTCTTTCTAAATGAACATAGTTTGTCATGTTTTTTAAAACCATCATAGTTTTTCATGACACATGTTTTTATTTTAACCTTTTCAATTAAATGATTAACTATCATTTAAATTTGATGATTGCCTCTTTTGTTTATGTATTATTTATGCTTTGTTTATTTATTTATTTTTATTTTCCTTATAAAGCTTTCTATGTAAAGTTAAAAAATGGCATTTTAATGACTTTTTGACTTTACGATGAAAAAATTATAGAGAGAAAATAACTATTAACACCTAATTTTTACTCCACTTAATTTTCTTAATCTTATGAGAAAATACCAAAAAAAAAAAACAAACAAACAAATGAAAGAAAAAAAGTAGAAAAAAGAGAGAATTATTTGAAAAAAATGATTTAGGGGTTTAATGAAAAAATAAAAATTATAAAGGACTAAAGAAAGCCCAATTAAGATAGCAATTGAAATGATTAAACCCCAAGATTTTAATTGAAAAAAGGAGATGGTACAGTTGTGGTAAAAAACTAAGTAGATCACTACCGAAATTGAAAATAGGGAGAAACTAAGGATCAAAATTATTTTTTACCAAGAACCTTAATCTTTCCCATATAAATATCCAATCTTTTTAGCCATTTAGGTTGGACACGAATTCTAAAAAAGAAAAACCCTAAAACCTAAAAATATGCCAAACAATCCCTAAGAAAGAAAAAACCTAGCCGATCCATGGGTTAGATCCGTATACCTATTGATATTTCCCTTCTTAAAACGACCACCCTTTAGCCAAGATCTCCTTTAGCCACCACCACTAATCGATATTCTATACCCAAATCCACCATTCCTAACTAGTTAGATAAATAGGAGACATTGAACGTGGCCGTAATTGAGGAGAGAAGGTCGATGACTCGACCTATTTAGATATCCGACTAATTATCCCAATTCGGCCAAACCAACAACTCGTCACCACCACGAACTATCCCTCATCTTTTTAGAAGAAGTTCCTCTTTAAGATCATAGCTCAATCACATCGAAATTGGCCTAATCAAGGTTAAACCTATTTCTCGATCCGTTTGATACAACCCGACCTAATTAGATGATTAAGGCTAAATCAGAATTTTTAACCACTAGAGTCTCGTCATGGTCGAGGATGTGATCGGATAAGAAACCTAAAAGAGGCAAATTTGGTTGTCTCCTTCAACTATCGTGGATGACACTTCTAGCACTAGTAAAGAGAAGGGATTTATGTGCATTTTCCCCGACCATTTATGATAGGCTCATGCATCAACGGATGGTGATCGAAGTTGTCAATAGTAGTGTTAAGGGCTTTCAAAGGTATTTTGGTAATTTTACCCCATCGGGGCATTTTGGTCACTTCATAACCGACCATGGGCATTTCAATCATTTCACAATAGTATCTTCGATGTTTTAATAGGTAGTTGCTCTTTCTCTTTGACTAACTAAATAATTAATTTTTATCGGGATTAAAAGTGGAATGGACCCCGAATAGGATTTTAGACAAATTTAATATATTTCAATAGTTATTCGGGCAACATTCAAAAATTTATACCCATTTGATGTTATTGATTAAACTAGTTTATTTTGAAAATATAAAATTGTTTTGTTGGTGATTGTTGAGAAATTTAAAATATAATTAGATACATCATTGTGTATCGAACCCGAAAACGTCGAGGACCTTGGGTATTTTGAGGTGAAATAAGATAGATTGATCATTGCTCTACAATGAGGCTAGAAGGATGAGTTTGAGTTTTAATTTGAATGATGGATCCGGGATAAATGCTAGTTTCGATATTTATATATTTATATGATGTTGTTTATGTTGATTTGATATGCTTAGTTTAGATGCGTTGAATGCATAATATACATGTCCAATACATGTTATCCTAATTTCTAATTGTTGAAATGAAGTCATCAATGGTTTTTCGCTTATTTTACAAAGCCGTTAATGTTTTTAAAGTCATTTTACTCGTTTTCTTCGATAAGAAATGAAGTCATCGGTGGCTTCCCACATATGTAGATGAAGTTGTTAGTAGCTCACGATCTATTTTTATTTATTTGTAATTACTAAATTAAAGTCGTTAGTGGCTTTTCACTTATGTGATAAGTTACTTATGGTTTCAAAGTCATTTTACCTGTTTTATAGTCATTAGAAATAAAACCATCCGTGGCTTCCTACCTATGTAGATGAAATTATCGGTGACTCCTAACCCATTTTTATTTGATTTTTTATTACCGAAATAAAGCCATTGGTGGCTTCCCACTCGATAATGAAGCTATTAGTGTTTTCAAAGTTATTTTGTCTATTTTCTACTTGTTAAAAAACGAAACCATCGGTGACTTTTCACCTATATAGATAAAGTTGCTAGTGGCTCTTAAATCATTTTATTTGACTTTTGATTACTAAAATGAAGTCGTTAATGGCTCCTATTTATGTGATGAAGCCGCTAGTGGTTTTGAAGTCATTTTACCTATTATTTGCTTATAAAAAATGAAGCTTTCGTAGCTTTTCATTTATATGGACGAAGTCACTAATGACTTTTGAATCATTTTTATTTGATTTTTGATTACTAAAATAAAATCATTAGTGTCTTCCCACTTATGTGATGAAGCCGTCAATGGTTTTAAAGTCATTTTACCTATTTTCTACTCGTCATAAACGAAACCATTGGTAGCTTCTCACCTATGTGGATGAAATCACCAGATGGCTCCTAAACCATTTTTATTTGATTTCTAATTACTAAAATGCAACTGTTCATGGCTTCTTATTTATGTGATAAAGCCGTTGGTGGTTTTGAAGTCATTTTATCTATTTTATGTTCGTTAGAAATAAAGTTATCGATGACTTTCCATCTATGTGGACGAAGTCGCCAGTGGCTCGGAACCATTTTTATTTGATTACCGAAATGAAGATGTCGGTGGCTTTCCACTTATGTAAAGAAGCCCATTAGTGATTTTTAAATCATTTTACCCGTTTTCTATTTGCTTGAAACAAAACCGTAGATGGCTTTCCACTTACTCGACGAAGTCGTTAGTGGCTTCCAAATCATTTTATTTGATTTCGTTACATGAATCAAAGTATTTGATGACTTTCTACTTATATGAGAAAGATATTGGTAGTTTCTTAAACTCATGATTCGAAGTTATCGGTGACTTTTTACTTATGTAGGCGAAGTTATTGGTGACTTCCTGTTCACATCGATATAGGCTCTCAATCTTTAAAAACTCACCTATTTATTGGTATATGCTTTTTTTCGTTAAAGATTAGTTCTCAATCTTTAAAAAGTCACATATTTATTGGTATATGCTTGTTTTCACTAAAGATTAGTAAAAATTTCAATCTCCCTCCACCTTTCCTCTTTTAAGCATGGGTATTGGCCTTGGATCGACTCGAACCCCGAATTACTTTGCCATTCCATACCAATAAAATAAATTCACTTAAATAGGTATAAAAACATAAAATAATAAAACTAGACTTTTATTTTTGTATGCATTTAATGCGACCTACCTCATATAGGATGAGATGTCGGTGATATTATATCTTTCCTATGTGTAACCGATCTCTTATCCAAATACTAAGCGGATCGGTTTGTTTAGGATTTTCTAATTTTTCTAGATTAGTTAAGTGGCGACTACATCTCTTGTGGCTCCCGTCGACGTACTCCTTTAGTGGCAAGCATAATACAATTCGTGTTTGTTTAGTTGCGACTCTTAGATCTTGATAGTTGTTCTCCTTTCACACTTATAATTGATATTCAAAAATCGATCATTATCTCAACCACTCTCAATTTCATTCTAACTAGACATTGTTGATTGCAGTATATACAGAGAGGGAAGATACAAAATTAAGGAAATAAAAGAAGATAGTGAAGAAAAAAGAAGAGAAGCTGTAAAATCAAAGAAGAAAAGCTGCAAAATTAAGGAAGAACAATAGGGAAATAAAAGAGAAAAAGAGGAAGATAAGCATAATTTTAGGATTTGTCGTTAGTTTTATATATCACTAGAAGGACTATTTGAAAATAAAATATATTGAGGTAACGACATCTCATCACTTTATTAACTGTTAATAAACGGAAGGATTAATAATTTAAAAGTAAGGGACTAAAGGATTAATTTTTGAAACGAGAGGAAATCAGTAGTCCGTTTCTCTGAACGAGAGGACTAAATTATATTTTACTCCTACTCATCGCCGGAATAATATGAAAAAATAAAAGTAAAAATTCCCCGTCCCGCATGATTCCCACTTCTTGTCTTGCTTTCTGTAGTAGGGCAAAACAAGCAGCCTCGTATCTCAGCCTCCCTAATCCCAAAAACCTAAAGATCCAATAACCACGCCATGTCTCAGGTTCCTTATCTCATTCTTTCAATTATTCACGCATTAATCGAAAGATTACATGTTTTTTTTCTTCTAATTTTTGTCTCTGCACCGAACCCTAACGGATCTAAGTTTTTGTCATTACTTTCATTAATTGCAGATTTGTAAATATTACCTAATTTTTCGAAATTGAATTAACAGTTTTAGATGTACCAAGCGAATTGCCGAATTGAATTTTGGAAAATTTTACTGTTTTTTTTTTCTTCTTAATTTGAGATTGTAAGTGGATTTTTACTATTATTGTTTTATTCTTCAGGTGGATAACAGAAACTCGTCAGCAGCGAAGCGCGCAAGAACTGATGGTATGCAATTCTTGTTGATCATTATTTTTTCGAAGAAGTGTTTTGTTTTTTTAAATTCGTTGTGAGATTTGAGACTTCATGCATGTTAATAGAACTTCATGCATGTTAATAGAAAACGTATGTGGGCTGCATGGCACATCCATTGAGTAGAATTATTGGTTTATAATTGTATATTAAAGAGCGAAGCTGAATTCTCCAAATTGCATTTTCATGCCTGTTTCGGACAGTAGGTGTTGCTTTTGGTTATGAAGTTGGAATTGAGTTGTGTTCCTACCTGTGTAGGTAGTCGCAGGGAGGATGATTGGACTTGTCCAAGCTGTGGCAATGTCAACTTTTCGTTTAGGACTACTTGTAATATGCGTAATTGTACCCAACCCAGGCCAGCTGATCATAATTCGGTGAGTTGTAATTGCACTGACCTGCTTTACTTGTTATAGAATGCTGTTGCTGTGTTAATGGGTATTTACTTGCTATGAAATTGGATTAAGTTGATCATGTAATTTCAATAACTGAATATGATAAACTGATAAGGTTGTCTTTAACTAGCAGATAGTGTCACAACCATTAGCTACTTGAGCTGAAAGATAGGTTGGCTTTGGATTAGTTTATGCTTGTTCATTTTTCCTCCTTATGCACATGTTTTGTTATGGTGTTTTACTTTTCCAGCTTTTTATTTTGTATTCTATTTTATATATTTGCTTATTTTTTCCCCTTGATGCCAGAAATTTGCTGCCAAGCCCCTGCAAGCACCACAGGGTTACTCATCAGGTCCTTATGTAGGTTCTGGTGCACCTTCTTCGATGTATATGGGCGTGCCACCATATGGTTCTTCCCTCTTCAATGGGTCATCTATTCCTCCATATGATGTTCCATTCACTGGGGGCTCAGCTTATCATTACAATTATGGAAGCCGCCTTTCCGGTGGCAGTCCATATAGACCGTTGCATATGGCAGGACCACCTCCTTATTCTGGTGGTTCTATGATGGGAAATGGTATGTTTGTGTGTGTCTTTCTTCTTCTTTTAAATCTTCATCATGCTCTCTAGGTTTGCGTTTTTTGTTTCTTCTGTTTTCCCTATTTAATAAATGGACTTTTTGTTACCAACTGTTTGGTCATGTTCCCTTGTTTGTTTTCCTGGTTTTTATGTATCTTATTGTATGTGTTCTGTCCTTGTATTTGATAGATTGAATTTGTGATGTCTTTTTTTTAATCATTGTTTCTTTCTAACCAACTGTCTCATTAGAAGTACTTTATTTCAGGTTATTTATTTATGTACTTTGAATGATTTGGGTTTCATTTATGAGGCAATGACATTTTTTATTTTCTGCAGGTGGGATGTACGCAATGCCCCCCTAATGGACCGGTATGGATTGGGTATGCCAATGGGCCCTGCCGCTATGGTATGCTAATAATTATTCTTACTCCTAGTCTGTTAAGCTGTGGATTTTAGGAGACATTCCTAGAGTTTTAAAACAGTGACTTTCACATCATGCTTAATTGGCTTCTAAAATTCCTTGCTGCCTGTTGCTATCTGTTTGCGTAAATGTAAAAAATCTCCTGTATATGTGCATTTCTTTTGTATTTTTAGGGGCTTTATATAGTTTGTTTTTATGTTTCATGTCACTTGATAGTTCAAGTATACTATGTTAACTTTATTTATCTGTCAATTGGTGAGCATTTTGTGTCTATGTATGTAGCTATCTGTTTCCAGGAATGCAAATAAATATGCATGTAAATACGCAGTTCCTTGTGTTCTTAAGAAAGAATTAAATTTATGTATTTTTAGATTCTAGCAATATTCCCTTACAGATATGGGGTTGATCTGGTGAGTGCATCTATTTCTTCCAGGGACCGAGGCCAGGTTTTTTCCCAGACGATCAATCCCAGAAGAAGGGTTCAGGTTTGTCATCAATACGATGTATATGAGCAACAACTTGAAACTTCTCGTTCTCCAACCTTGATCTTTTCTTCTTATATGCTACTGTAGATGCAACACGTGATAATGATTGGACTTGCCCGAAATGTGGGAATATCAACTTCTCTTTTAGAACTGTTTGTAACATGAGGAAGTGCAATACGCCAAAGCCAGGATCTCAGGTTTGGTTACTTTCTTCTTAAAGATAGAAGAATAGTTAAATATTTTCATGCTCAGCGGTGTTTTTCTGTCATATAATTGTCCTTTTGAGCTATCGTGGTACTATTTGGGACAGTGAACTTTGATAAGCTTGCATAGTAACTTGGAATTTTAAATTAGCTCTTTTGTACAAGAATCTATGTTGGTTTGGTTTCTACTTTTTTTTTTAGCAATGGTAACATGTCTAATTTTGTATTTTCTACTCTTGTTTAATAATGGTAAGATGTCTAATTTTCAACATTTTCTTGCTATTGCAGACTGTGAAGTCTGACAAAAATTCCAGTAAGTCCTCTTAAACCTCATACACGGTAAGGTTCATATTCTGAATTAATACTGACGAGCTTCTTGCTTTTTCAGAACAAAAAATGCCGGAGGGAAGCTGGAAGTGTGAAAAATGCAACAACATAAACTATCCATTCCGGACGAAGTGCAATAGACAAAATTGTGGGGCTGAGAAACCAGCTGAGTCAAAGAAGTCCCCTTCGCCGGCACCTGATGAGGAGGATCAGGTTTGTTATGTGATTCATCTTGATTGTATTTCCATTTATTGTTTGAAACTGTTATGTTCATTAATCACATTTGTACTCTTCACAAATTCAATGACTATTAGTGAGAAGGGTGTTTGGCTGCTCCCTCTTCCTTTTCTCTCTGCCCTCCCACTCATCTCTTTCTATGTAGTTCTTGCAATGTACCTCATTAATTGTCGATTATCTTTCTTTTTGCAACCATTGATTTGCAATTGTCTACTGTTCCAGTGAGTACTAGGACATGTCTGAGGGTTGAGAAGGTCCAGAGTTGTCGTCCAGCATTGCTCAATATGGGTGTCTGAAAGTCAGTCTTGTCGTCCTCATGTTGCAGCGGTTGTCGAGTTACTATACCTTCTCATGATGTCTGTCAAGTTGTTGTATTACTAGCGATGGTATTGTGGTCTACTGGTCTTATGGATCCTTTGATGCATTATGTGTCTGCCAGGTTAATCTGGTTAAGATTCTACAGGTTGGTTATGGTTTCTATTAGTTAGGCGTTTGTACTTTTGGAATCATTCATCTATTCCAGTGGGATGATACCATGAATTTAGAATACTGCAGTCTGCATATTTCTTGCTCATTTGATGAAATTGTGTCTATGCCATTGAAATTTCATTGTTTGAGTAGATGCTTCTGTTTGAAGCATCTATGGTTACCAAGTTGACAACTTAATTAGGTCGCTAGACTAGTAATATGTCATATGGTTCAGTAACTATCCACTCAATGACAGTTTTCCTTCTCTCCTTATTGTGTATGACTTGGTCTGGACTATTGTGAGACTAGAGCTGTGCCAAGGCTATCAGGACTTTGCATGTTTGAACACGTGGGAAATTTTTTGGTAGCTTTTTTATTTAACATTCATTGTTTGACTGGCAAAAAATTAGAGCTGGTTGTGGTTCATGGATGGAAGGTATGTCTGCATTAGCATAGTTGCATAACTTTGTTTGCCCCCCTTTAGCTTGCGATCTTCTTTATAAAGTGTATGGTGATATCTTATTTCCTTTTGTCCTAGCCAAGGAGACGGTTTGTTTCTGGAATTGGTCCCATGGTATGAGGTTGGACCACGTTACAGGCATTGTATTCCCGAGTTTACTGTCATTACTATTTAGAGGGCAATCTCATTAGTGTGGATGGATGTGCATTCCATCTCAGTGGAAGTATGATTCCGTTTTGTGTTCACTGTCATTATTGTTTAGTGGGTTTCTCACATTTTAGAGTGGTTGGAGTTCTGGAATCTGGTTCACCTGCAGGATTGTTTCTAAACTATTGTGGTACCTTGAACTTCCAGAAATCTGCAGTTGCGTTTTGAATTCAAGGTCACACCTTAAAATATAGGTTAAAACGTTGCTTTCTTAGGAGAGGGATATTGGCACTCCAACCATTGATTGTTGGCTCCCAAACCCCTCACCATTGGTCCAAACCTCAGTGGGTTGATTGTGCTGCATCCTTGATAAAATGACGATGTTGGATAAATCCATCTATTCTCCGTCAGTTGATGCTCTGAAACTGCTTTTACATTCCATTCTAATCGTGGAATTGTTTGAGAAAGAAGGCAAAAATTCTATATGAATGATGATATTAACGGCGCAATTTCCTGTACTCCATGACTATAGTTGTGTTTACAAATTGAATTTAACTAACGTGTAGCAATTACCTGAACATTAAAATGGAACGGTGTGATTAAATTGAAGAAAGATTGTACGCTTTATTTCTTATGATCTCTTATGATCCGTAAAGTTCCATGATAAAAAACGATGTTGTTCACCAAATGTAGCATCGGAGTGAGACGTCAAAGCTAATTCAACACCGGAGAAATCACATTTAGATAGGATCAATTAAAGGAATGATACAATGTAATAAGAATTCATTTCATCAGATTCCTGTTTGTGGTAAACGGCAACTGCTTGGAAACAAAATTACTTTCAAGGCAAAGACCAAGTGCAACAGTTTAGTGACTCAAAAGTGCGTGTGATACGAATGCAAGTGAATACCATAATTTCAAGTATGGGTGATTTCACTTTTTCGCTACGGGAAAATCTCCTTTCATCCATGGAAGAGAAAACCATGCAAGTACTACGAAAAATGTCTCGTCAAATTGGACTATTGTGACCCATAAGATGTGCTTACTATTCGTTTCTTCAAGACCTCGATCAGATAACTTAGGAAACGATATAGCCTTTGAAAAACGGTTTCGTTGTACGCATCAAACGGGGAGTTGTGCTCCTCTTGAAGCGCAAGGCAATCATGCTGATTGATCTGTAAGGCTTGCGGTCTCGCTGAAACCTCCCATTTACGTGCGTTCATAGACTTAAAGTTATTTTATTTTACTTGGATCGGTTCGGAAGCTGAATATGATGATACTGTCATTTTATACGATCTCTCTTATGATTTTAGTTTCTGATAGTCAATCATGTACACATCTTACTTCAGTTTCTTTTTTCTTTTTAATCATATTCTGACATTTTATACGATCTCTTTGATGATTTTAGTTTCTGATAGTCAATCATGTACACATCTTACTTTAGTTTGTTTTTTTTTAAAAAAAAAACTGTGGAGAATGACATGAGAAATCCAACCTGTGAAGATGGCCATTCCTTAGATTTTTTTTTATTACACATCTAATTTAATACTCATAACCAATGAAATTATTTGTGGATGGTTCTAAAAAATTGACCTGGTCAAGGAAGTTTGCTTAATTTCTTAACTAAGTAAATTATAAATTAGTCTCTTTAGTTTTATAAAATGAATTATATAGTTTTTATTTGTTTTAAAAACGAATTATTTAGTCTTTTGATTAGTGTTGATTATTTTTAATTCAATATTATTTTATTTTAAAAATATTTTTTTCCATTAATCTTTCCATGATATTTATTTATTTTTATTCCTTTTTTTTAAAAGAACATAAATCATAAATGGATAAAAAGATTAAATAATTAGTTTTTAAAATAGTTGGGATCTATCATTTCTCAAAACTAAAAGGACTAATTTATAATTTGCACATTTTTTAACTTTTTGAGTTTGAACTTGGAGACCAACACCCAAAAAAAAATTATTTCGCTGACCAGAAATAGATCATCGAAAGAGTGGATTTGATTTTAGTTACAAGGTGCTTTCATGATACTATTAATTGTAAAAAAAAAAAAAAAAAAACTACAAGTTCCATTCTATTTGCTAATAAATTATAATAATTCGTTAATTTGAACTTAAAAGGTAAACTTTCAATTTGCTTTCTTGAGGTTTATGTGTTATCTTAGTTTTACATCAAAAAAAATTATTTGTTTTATTTGGACTCTATATTTTTCATTTTTGTTTCAATCTACCATCACATATTTTACTTTTGTTCCAATTTTCATCCATTTTATCAAGTGTGTAAATTTCAATTTCATCCCTAAAGTTTATAAGATATTTCAATATCATCTAAAAAGTAAAGAAAGAAAATTAAAATTAACAAAAATAAAAATAGAAAATCAACAGCAAATATCATATTTTTATTAATACAAATATAATAAAATTTTAGAGGGTTAATTTATCAAAAATTTTCTAATCCTACAAACTCCAATTCTAACTCAATAAATCATCTTTTCTTTTGTCAATACAATAGGTAATTGAAAAATGAAAAATCAAATTAATTTAACTCTCTCTATCTATAAGAATCTTCATCGTTCTGATCTCTTTCAGCTATCATATTTTCTTCTTTCTTTAATGTTGTCATCAAATAACAATTTTGATATGTGTAAATAATTATTGGTGATGCTAAAACTGTCCTATAGTCAAGTTACCATTCCATTCAAATAGGATTTCATATATATATATATATATATATATATAGAAGTTTTGTTCAAGATTTTAATGAAAATCTGGATAAAAATTATATATATTATATGATAGACAGAGTATATGAAAGGCAATAACAATGGTGATTGATGCTTTTTATTAAAAAAATACTCTCTTTATTTCTATAAAGAGAGTCACATTGAATTTTTCACACGTATTTTAGAAAATACATTAAATACTGCAACAACTTATACTCTTTTTAGTAAAATTTGGTACTCAATTATTTGAGTTATTGATAAGAGACATACATTTTGGAATATCTAAATAAGAGAAGGACTCTTTTGAAGGATGGAGGGAGTATTTTTTATCACATTTATTTTTAGTTTAATTTTATTCCTGTATTGTCAAAAGACTGTTAAATAGTGTTAGTAATGTTTTTTATCGTATTTGTTTTGTTGAAAATTCTTTAATTAATTTTCAATTTTTTATTTTTACATATTGGATTATATTGAGATATTTTACATACTTTGAAGATGAAACTAAAATTTTCATAAAGTATAATAAAAATAAAAGATAAAGAATCTAATTAAAATGAATTAAAAATTTTAGATTAAATCAAGAAGAGACAAATCTCAGTAAAAAAAAATAAATAAAAAAAATAAATAAAATTTACCCTATTTTAAAAGTTCAAGCAAGTTTTCATGTCACAAGAAAATTATTTTCGTACGTTAACTTTTTCCTTAAGAAGTACAGAGAGGGTTTTTCTTTTTATTATTATAATACAGAAGGTTTCTTGACACATTGGTCGTTGGGTTACCTACCCAAACTAACAAATGAGTAGCAGTATATGTGTTACTTCTTTTCTATTTTTCAGTTGAAGACATACATGGAAAGAATTATCATATTAAATAAGATTTTAAAACACCTTAGTTTAAGAATTATGGGCATGGACTAATGATGTGTTAGTAACTAATGATTTTAAAACACTTTTACTAGAAACACCAGAGTGGTTTTTACTTCAAAAAACAAATTTTCATTTCTATAAAAAATTTATAATAATGTGTTAGTAACTAATGATTTTCTAAATAGAAATAACAAGAACTTTGGTTAGATTGCTTTCAACAAAAATCAAATTTTTAGTGAAACTAAAAAAAATAAAAATGAACACAAATCAGGAAAAAACATATTTTTTTTTTTTATAAATAAAATTTGGAAAGTTCTCTACAAGCAAACACGATCCTAATTCTCAAGATACATGAGAATAAAGCTTGTTTTGCTCTTTATATTCCTGAATAGGAGGAACGCACCCTAACGAACAACAGCAGGTTGACTTCAACACACGCTCGAGGCAGGAAGAGTTGTATTTCTTTCATTGCCAATTATTATCCAATGACATTATGACACCGTTATCATCATTGTTGATAATGGAAAATAACTATATTGTCAGTCTGTCAGGATAATGAGATGATTGTGTTGAGCGAAAAGGGCCAAAAAAAATAAAATAAAAAGAAGGCAACATACTAAAACTATCCTTTTTCTAAAAATGATCAAAAGCACATTCCCTTCGACATAAACTATGACAGGTTATCAAGGGCCTAGAAAAATTATCACTCAACAACCAGAACTTGCATACAATAAACTAACATAATAGACAAATTTAGTGATGACACCCGATTTTCAAATAACTCATGCTCGTAGTTCATATCGGAGCCATACAAGGACTGGAAGATCATTCATACCTGCAGTCAATTACTACTATTTTTTCCGTATATTACAGCGCATGAAAGCAACTAAGAGGAGCTTTGCCATGCGCATCAAATGGAAGAAACAAGACAAATAATAGTTTAGATCATTAGGGGTTTTTCAAAAGATGATTCAAGGCACAAGCAAGTTGAAATATTAAGTTCTAGGTTCCTAGAAATATTAATAACACAGATAACGGTAACTTTCAAATCACTGTTTCATCATTAACCAGTCCAAATGGTGTTCTAGGAGAAACGTCATGGAACTTTGCAATCACTGAGACCTGAATCCTAACAGCATGAGCCAGGATGGTCAATTGCCTGAAGAAAACGGAAAAAACTAGTCAGACTACGACAGGTACTGAAGAATCCTCCAGTGATATGATGATAACTTCACCACTACTACTAGTTATATAACCTCTACAATCAGAATCCACTAATAGTTTAATGACAGACTAATTTCAAGGACTTGGGCACTCTCACACTTGAGAGTTGATGGGGTCTCAGTCATCAGAGTAAGAATAAGTGATGTCCAGTGCTTGGAACATGCAAGACATCACCTGGACTTAGAATGTGTAATTTATCCCCCCACTAAATGATTTCGAATTACTTCCACCAATGCAGGATATTATAATATAACTTTCATATCTAAGAGTGCAGAAAGGTTTTAAGGAGGAATGACTAGTGACCACCCCATAATTACTGTAAATTTAAATTACAATGCACACGCGAAAGTATCGTGCATCTAAGCTATAAATGTCAAACCAGATACTGACCTTCACTTAATTTGTTAAGATGAAAATGATAAATCACTCCAGCAGTCAGTTCATCTGGCTGGAATAGAATTCATTCCCGTTTGACGTTCTTAACAGCCGAAACTCTTGAAAGTAACTGCTACCATCAGTGTGTGAAGTCAAGGTATGCATTTGAGAGTCTGCTGACGGTCGCTCAGTCCTCCAACACTCTGATGAAGCAAGCGGTGAGCTTTGGGGTATAACTTGCAGCACAGACTGAGGCATGCTGGTGTGACTCATATGCATGGGTTGTTCAAATGAAATTGATTGTGGCTCACATGAACCCCATGAATTGTTTGACAGAAGAGAGAGAGCACGATGAAATTCTGGTGCTGGTTTCGCTTTGGATGGAATGATGGGTTCTTCCCAACCTGCAAAGCTCACATTCCTAATAATTTTAAGCATCAATTTTGGATAGAGGAGAATCACTCCAGACAAATAATAATAATAATAATAAAGAAATGCCTAGCACAATAGTTATCTCTATTTATGAGGATCTGCACTATTAATTGTCTCCGTAAAGTGCAATGTTTCTAGATTCATACTCCATCAATATGACTTTAAAAACAACCTTGGCATTTTTAAGATTCTTCTACATTCATTAGGATCCCCTGACTAGAAATGATCAACAGGAACACAAAACACATTCACTATCCACTCAGACCACCACGCAATACATCTATGATTTCCAAAATTAAGCAGAGATGCACTTAAATACAGAAACATATAATTCTTGCAAACCACCAGGAACTACAAGTGTTTTCTTTTTTGTCACATTTATTTGCATTCATCATTGCCAAAATCAGTGGTATATCTGCCAAATATCAGATTTGGCACACCATTTACTGTACTGCTGAATTATTCTTGTATATATCGTGTGATATCTAACTATCGTCCATGTATCTCCAAAATTAGCAATACTTTCTGATATTTTTCAGAAATATCATGGTACTTGACTCCTGAATGAGGCTCCAACCTCATTTGTGCCACATTAAGATTATTTGAATTATTCTTGTATATATCATGTGATATCTAACTATCATCCATGTATCTCCAAAATTAGCAATACTTTCTGATATTTTTCAGAAATATCACCGTACTTGACTCCTGAATGAGGCTCCAACCTCATATGTGCCACATTAAGATTATTTTAAAGCACGAAAGCAACCAATAGTTTTGCTTATGCTGTGAATTTATACATATTACATGTAAATGGATATATGTAGCTTTGGATTTATGTACCAGTACTATAAAATCCAGGAATGTAGTGGAAAAAGAAAAGAACAAAAGAGGCTCGTGACCAAACGGACACATACTGTGGAAAATCCTATACTTCAGTGAATCAGAGACACCAGATGTTGCTACCATAGGAAAGCTATTACAAATAATTTATCGACATTGAGATTAAAAGAAACAAATTGTATCAATTTAATCAAAACATAATGTTCACTTCAAATCAAATAGCATAGTGCAACCTGACGAACAGAAAATGTTGTTCAATTTTTAATCCAGTTTAATACATATTATGTGCATGTTAAATTTGTTATGCAAGATCAATAGTCACTTAGTTATTTTACCGCATTACAATTAATGCCTATTATACCTAGTATCCATTGGTTAAAAATCTTACTTCACCATATTTGTGTCAAGTAAAAATTGCAAAAGAGAATTAATTAATATATTCCAAAGTCCTTTTAAGCAAAATTTTCATATTTTACTATGAGTTTTCCATCAGTTTTTAAAAGCAGGTGTATGATACTTGATTCAGCAGAAATTTCATAGATCAACAATTTTTGGACCTTGATATATTCATCAATCAATATGAAAACCACGTTCATGTCCAATGATTGAAGCACTAGAAACCTTTTCTTTAGTTCTAACCTGCAGTCACAACATATAGTTTATCACATTGGTTAAAAGCACATTCCAGGTCCATGACAAATGCCAAAGCCGTATTTTGGCATTGAACTCTAACTGAATAAACTGAGAGTTTAAGAAATCATTGAGGTTGTTAATCTTAGGCTTACTGACAGGTGAAACTGGACCTTGGGAATTTCATGAAGACAACAGTAAGGTTCCAAATTATCCACTATTAATAACACTATAAATGGACTCACCTGGAGAATTTCACAAAGCTATCGTCTAAAGATTAGATTTTTACCCTTCATGTCTTTTTCATATAAAATAAACTCTTGTTGGATCTTTGGTTAAATATTAACTTTATTATTATCATTATCATTATTATTGGTCACTAGAGCATACTTTACCTGTTAAATGTATCAACAAAACCTTGCTAGAAATCCTAGCAAAGATTTTATATGGTACTAACCATATCATCAACATTAAGAAACTTAATGCAATAAATGTGAGGCTTGTTTCTCAAAATGAAAACAAAACAAACCTTGGTTGAGAACCTCAGCTGCACTGCCCTTGGCCTTGGATACGGAGCCATTAGACTTATGATGGTGCTGATTAGCAATGCCATTTGTCAGATCAGTGCCAGGCAAGTGGAGCTGCCCATCACTACCGCCAATTTCTGCAGGCTTTGTTATATACTCTTTTGTTATAGTGAACTTGGAGATGGACGTGCTATCCCATGTCAAATTTGCATTAGGCCTGGCATGAACAAGTGGTGCCCTGTCCCAAGCAAGACTCATCCGTTGCCTCTCATCTGCATATGTAAACAACGATCATATCAAGTTGAATAAATGGTTTTTATGCAACACCAATTTACTTGAGTGAACTGAAGTATCCTGAGCTGAAACAATATCAGTAAACCAAATTGTCGTCCCACATTCAAAGGAGGCAGGTGGGACATAGGATTACCTCAGGTTTGTTTTGTTAAATAAAGCAAACCAAGAATTCATTAAAGGAAAGTCTTTTGGGGGATTCATATAGAAAATTTGAACAATCAATGAGCACAACAGACTCCATCAAATACAGTATACAGAATCACAAGATAAATTTATATCCATAACTCACACTGAATGTCTCAATGACAATAGCAATTCGGACATGCTGGAACAATATTTTGGAACTATAACAAATTTGTAGCAAAGAATTAGGACATTAACTTGCAAGTGTCAATAACACAATCTAAGAACTATAAGTGTGTGTGTGTGTATTTTGGTGCTCAATTAGAGAAAATTCTTTTTGGCAAAGAGAGTTAAATGGATTTGAGACATCAAGTCCATATCAAACTCCCCAAAGGGGTCTCTTTCCTCCTTTTGATTTAGCCTCGTTAAGGCAAAGGGAACTCTATTGCATAATCCATATAGCTTCATTTCAGAGTATATGGGAAGATCGAGAAACAACTAAAACAGAGATCGATTGTGATAGCATATTCTACAAATCAGCTTCAAGATAATAATCAAATTCTCAGTTCGACACCAGTACCAAAAAACGAGGAAGACAGTCTTGATGGATTCAAATGGACTGATCCTGATTGTTTGCGGCGTCTTGCATTGTGATCAGAAAGTCGCCTGCGGCAGCTTTTCTTCTTTTCATCGAACTCTGACAGACCATGGAACCTTTGGCAACCACAACCCAAAAATTGTCAAAGCAATCATATGAGCTAGAATTACCATCACTATAATTACTAATTGAGGAAAATTGGTGTAACCAATACATCAAACTAGATAACAACAATTAGCAAAAGTGCAAGTAGAAAGTGAACCATTCTCAGGCATTATTGTCTTCCAACACACAACCATTCATTTCATTAGAAGCTTTACCTGCTACACTGCTGGCAAAACCTGCGTTCCAACCCAGCTACAATGACCTTCTGGCACTTTGAATGGCTTTCACAAACCCTATGTTTCCGATGATAGTCTTTAGCTGATGAAAGGTCAAGGTTACAGCCTTCCACTTGACACCGTAGAATACGCTGAGTCTGATTACAGGATTTCAATTTCTTTACTGGAGTAAAAGAGGGCACAGGAACTGTAGAAAATGATGAAGACTGAGCATTGCTCCCAGCACAAGTGTCTTCAAAGTATGTTCGTTTTCCAAGCTTCAAACCAAGCAGCTGGTCGCCTGAACCAACTGAAGCCTCAAGCACGGGAGAAGTACCAGCTGCCTTAGCCTTTGCAGATTCTTTCTTATTGTAATCAGATGGATTTGCTTTAGAGGCGTCCAAAGTGAATTTGGATGTTTTAACTTCCCCAGCTGATGAAGAATTGATGGAAGCTGACTTTGAGCTCTTTGAGAAAGAAGCAAGTTCCAAATCAGAGCTAGAGCCACCGCTTCTGCTCGCACTCCCAGATGAATATAGAAACCCAGAGTCGGTTCCTTTTTCTCCATCAGTTTCAAAATCCGTTGGGCTTAACTGCTTTGAATTTTCAGTTGTCATTGCATTGAACATTATCAGGTTCTCCCAGTCCCACTGTAACTGGGGTTTACCATTCCACTCCATCAGTGAGACAGAACTCATAGAATCACTTCACAAAGAATACCTCTTCATGTAATCCACGAGCAACTGGACACCAGATCTTGCAATCATTATGACATCAAGGTTTATATACTTTGAAGAAAACAAAGAATCAAATTGCAACTTTAAACATGCAAAACTCAAAATATGCTAATATTATATAGAATTGGAAAGAGGTTCTGTATAAATTGAATAGGCATGCTCAAATACAAGCTATAAATATCGCTCTGACAATGAAAGACTTCTGGTCAAGTAAGAAGGCTCAAAGATCGATCTAATTCTACTAATATTGGATTGAAGTAGAAAGAGGTTCTGCAGGAATTAAATAGTGTAATAAACAGCATATCTCCCTGAAAAAGTGAAGAACGGAGCTCACCTTCAAATCTTGATGAATCTAAGTGCCAGCTATCTCTGTTTATCAGAGTTAGAAGAGCCAATCTTTATTCCCTTTACGAGAACAAATCCGATCTGCTTGTTCCCCAATCCTGCAAAGTAGTTCCTCTTGATTCCTACAAAAGCCCAGAACTCCTCAGCTCAGAGAATCACCAGACAGACTTTAACCAAACCAAGTAAACGCAGCATCCATTAAAACAAAGGTCACCTTTTAACCCAGTAAAGTCTCTTGCAGAAATCAATCAATCTCCAAATCTACAAACACAAACATCCACAAATCAACTCACAGATTTCAAGAACAGTAACTTGCAAACTCTCAACCTCAAGTTACTGACACAAAAATCTCCCCAACCTTCAAAAAAAAAAAAAAAAAAAAAACCGACTCCAAACAAAAAAAAAAAAAAAAAAAAAAAAATCAAATTTCTCTACTTTTGTCCATATTTACCTCTCCTAGACCCAACCATGACTTCTCAGTGTGTTACCTAACAAACTGTCTCCACTGTTCTTAATAACGCAAAATCACATTTTATCCCCCACACAAGGCACACCTAATAATTGCTCTGCAAAATTTCTGCAACACTCGAAGTCAATTCCTGCAGGAACTTACCAGTAGTAAAAAAAATTCACCTAACAAAAACTCCTCCTCTCCCTCTTTCTCTCTTTATATCTCAATTGTCTCAATATATCTAACTTGTATTGAATGAAGCAAGTTTCATCTTTTTTACCATCAACAAAAAGCAAGCAATAATTCACATTGAAGTTGTTTGGGCTAATCACAGTAAGTAGGCCCCTGAATGAGACCATTCTGACTCATCACCTAATGTGTTAAAAAGAATCATACCCCCCACCCCAACACATCCACTAATTCACCACTTTTAACCCATTATTCATAAACCGAAGAATAAAAAAACAGCACAAAACAAACTAAACTTTGTAGCTTGTAAGACAAAAAAAGGGACCCCTCTCATTCATTACCATATTTGACAAGAAACGACAGATCGTCTCGCAGCTTCCACTCTCCCAATAACATAAGAAAGAAAAAATGCAATGTACTATTACTGCTACAACCAACATATAAGAGAGATAGAAGCAAAAGAAAAGGCATTTCGTAAGTAAAAAAAAAAGAAAAAAAAGAAAAAGGAGGAGATCTTTTTTTTTCTTTTTTTCCTTTTCTTTCAATGAAAAGTCCACTTTTAACTATTGAAAAAATGGGTTTCCTCTTTTTAGAAATCCCACCACACATCTTTCGTTTTTAAGCTCTTTAGTGTGGATAAAGCCACAAACTTTGAATTTCCATTTACATATAAAAAGTAAACGCATGAAGCTACAAAAATGCTATCACAAAAAACTAAAAACGCTTTGTCTCTCTTCTATTATTGTGGAATCCAAATAACATAACAAAAGAAAAAAATGCTACAGTTTTCATTTTTTTTTTCAATTTGAAACTCGAAAGAAAGAAAAATAAACCAGTACTACTTACCCTTCAGAGAGAGGAAGAAACAGAAGAAGGGATCTCTGCTAAAAAGCTGTCGGAGAATTGGGAAGAGAACTTAACTATTATTGCCTATTTACTGTTTGTGATTAATAAAAAGAGAGAGAGGAGGCGAAGAGAAGAAAGAAAGGAACTTGCTTGCTTGCTTCTTTGCGTTATTTGTTTATTATACTACCTGTAGTCAGGGTATGAGGGCTAAATGCAGAAAATTGCAGAGAGTTTTTCTTTTCTTTTTCCATTTTTCCGGTGGTGGATTCATATCATGTTATTTTCATGGAGTCGTAGATAATCGACACGTAGAAGAGGGCGTACCGATTGCACAGACACGCTGTCTGTGTGGGTTTTGCCTTTTCTTTTTCAGGCCTGGTTTTGGTGTGAAAAATAAAGAAAGAAAACCCACCGTTTTCACGTTAATGAATCGGAGAAAATTTATAATACTCAATAAATAACTGCTTTACATTGTATAGTAGATACTCTATTTCTCTATTTTTAGAAAGAAATAAATATATTAAAAAATAATATTTAAATTTATTAAAAATAATAAAAACATTTTCGCATCAACTTAATTTTTTATTATTTATTTATTTATTTATCTCTTTGGAGTAGTTTCTATTAATTACTCATTTAGTATTATAATTTTTTTAATAAATCCTTAATTTTTTCTTCTTATGTTTATGCAAGGATTAGAAAACTAAAATTAGGTCTTGAATTTTAGCAATCAAGAATGGAGCATTACATCTTATTAGGCCAATTTCAGTTTTTTTTTTTTAGTTTTTCTTTTGATTATATTGCCTGGTAGTTGAGTTGGATTAGTTTAGCATTCCTTGATTAATTTTGAATCCATGATTCTTAAAGAATACATATAAATAATATGGGGTAATATTATTTTGAACAACTTGGACTAGTTGACAATATGACACTAATAAAAGTTGGGTTCGGGGAATTAATTATAGCATTTCATTAACCTAAGATTGTGATCGAAGTCACAAGAAATGAGGTTGGTCTTTTGGAGCTGACAACATTTGTTTAAGTAGGTAGGGGACAAGGAAAGGTGTCTAGAATAAAACGGACGGATAAATTTATTAGTTTCACAGTCAACTTGTTGATATTAAAATACGAAATGTTGTGTGGGTTAAGGTTGGCGCCTTGATTAATGACATAGAAAAGAAAAGATGGCACCTTGATTAATTAATAATATAAAAGAAAAATTTTATAATATTAAAAAATTAATTAGTATAAATTATTTTATCGAGAGAGGTAAACATAAAAAAAAAATAAGAAAGAAAAAATTTGAAAAAAAAAATTGAGCCAACATGGAAAAAAAATTGGATTTAATTATATCTTAGTCCCCTGATTTAATTAAACTAATTAATTAACCTTTATAATTTTAGAAACCGTTTATATAATCACTGAGGTTTTCAATATATTTAGTACCGGTCCCTCCATCAATTCTGCGTCCTTTTTTAATTTATTTCGGTAATTTTTCTTTCAAAGAAAATAGAAGGGGGACGTGAGAAATTGGATTAGAAGACAAAGGCTTTTTTGGAATAAAAAAAGATTGTATTGAGGTTGATCAACTCTAATTAAGGAACTGTTAAAGTATTTGTTGTACAATAGGGACTATTAATTAAATTTGATAAACTCTAGGAACTAAGTTATAATTCCTTTTAATAAACTATTTGAAAGATGCAAGATCTCATCCTCATGATTAATTCAGGGAATCCACGTGAAGACACTAGCTAATGTCTTCTGGTTATTCCTTCATCTTTTACTGATTTTTTTTATTAATTAACGTGGCTACTTGACTATGCTTGGCTAATCAAGATGCTTAGTGGACGCTTCCCTCTATAAACAATGCCGTAATTGAGTGTCATGAGATTATTTGCTATTTACCAAAAGAAATCAAATTTTGTTTGTAGATGTGCCACACACGCCCACATGAACATATATATGTGCATGTCAGCATGTCTCATCTAATTTCGAAAATTATTGAATTAAATAATTGTGCAAATAAAAGCTTCTAGAAATCAAAATTAGGGCCACGTCATTCGTTTTCATGTTTTTTTTTTCCCCACAGGTCTTGGCACTTTCGAATTGTAGGTAACTCAGGCAATGGTCACACCAAGATTTCCACTTCTTAACTTTTGGCTCTTGTTGACTCAATATTCAGGAGAGAATCACTATCTTAATTAAAAGTCATCCTTTTGGCTTAGGTTTTGATCGGTGTTGCCATATGATAGCCAAGAATGGTCGCGTGGTGCTTTACAGCGACACCAACGATTCCTCCTATCAACGGCAAAGCTATTGAAGTAGCAACGCACTTGCACGAGGATTAAAACATTAAACACATATCTTCACTTTTACTCGTTCCTTTTAAACACGACGATGCTGTTGGGTACTTAAACTATATATATATATATTTTTTTAGTGATCTTGGTTTTGAATTTTTTTTTTATATATATTTTTAAAATAATTATATTTATTTTATGCATCTAATCGAATAACAAATGATTGAATTAAATTTTTTAGTTTAAAATATTTTGAGAATCTAAATTTTATTTATTTATTTAGATTTTTAGATAAATTATTTATACATAGAGCAATGCTGATAATGACAAGGATCATTCATTAGCTAATAAATTAAATCATATTAAAGTTTTTATATTTTAATTAGTTTGTTGTATTTGTAGATACTTTTCCATATATATATATATATATATATATATAGAACATAAAAATTGGAAAACATATTTTGATTGTCTTTTTCATATTATCATAACTTGAGAGTTTAACAACAATTTTTTCCCTCAGTTTTCTATTTTTTACCCGCCAGTCAAGCGTTAACCACAAACACAAGTTTTTTTCCGGCCTTTTCCCAACATTGCTCATCAGGTTTTGTTGAAAATATATTTTGGTTGCCTTTTTCAAATATATATACAACAATTATTCATTTTTTAACCGTTCCTATGACGTAAACACAAGATAATATGGTAAAAAACCAAATAACCTTCCCAGATCCAAGACTTGAAAAGCTCGTATCCTTACTTTTCCAAAATGACATTTTAACTTCTTATTAAGATGGGTTTAAGAAAATGAATTAATTAAATAGGAGTTTGTCATAATTTAGTTCATGTAGTTTATGAAAATGAATTGATTAGATCCTTCATAATGAAAAATTAATTATTCAATAATTTTTTACCAGAGTGGAGCAACACTTTCCCAATAGATCTTGTATTTCTTTTTAAAAATACTTGAAGTACCGTTGCCCTTCTCTCTCGCTCTCCTTAAAATATCAATCTTCCAAAATTTTATAAACTTTCATCTCATCTAGACATTTCCATTCACTTAAACGATGAATTTCATAGAAAAGAAGTGGTGCTATTGCTTGCAAAGAAAGGCGGTGTTGCTAATTTAAGGAATCGATTGTCCTTAGTGGTTGTTGGGCGTGTTTGAAGGTTTTATGGCAATTTGAAATAGAAAATAGAGAGAGAGGACAAGATGAAGGGTTTTTTTTTTTTTTGTGGGTCTGATCATCTTAACTTGTTTGTTGGTTTAATTCTGATATTGAAACTGAATTGAGTTCAATTTTTATTTATTTGTTTGATTTTGTTGTAAGTAAAATTTAATTTTTTTAACTTGAAATAAAATATTTTAGAATACGAAGTACTAGATTTGTAACAGTTCATAACCTCAATAATAAGAAAAAGAACGAATAATTTTATTTCTCGACCTAATAATTAATTTCGATAAATCATATAGACTAATTTATAAATAATGGTCACGCAACTCCATGTAAAAAAAGAAAAAGAAAAAAGAAACATGTGAGGAGGATTGCAGATGGTTTAGGTTTTTGTCTGTATTTGGGCTCGTAGGACTTACGAGACAATCAAACAGGCTCCGCACGTCGGAGAATGAATCCCAATTTCTGGCTCAACCAAAGCTAATAAAAGGCATAAAGAAAACGTTTATGGAACTGTCATTTACCTAACAGCCAAAAATTATTTAGAAGTGTCACAGTGGATCCAAATCCTTGATTCCATTAACCATCCCACTTTCCGTCTCATTAATTAAAATTGACAGATGATTGGATTCATTATACTAGAATCCAAACAGATGGTTATCACAATTCAGAACACGCATCTTATCATGTTATCGTAGTGTTGATCTGGAAGGAAAAAGATTAAGTTAATTATGATGGGAAACAAGTCATTAATTAATCAAAGATAAGAGGCATGTAGGCTGCGTCACTTGGACAATGTTTCATTGGCTAGCTTTAGAGCCAGTCCCCATCTTCTCTTTAAGAAGCCTTCGCATTATTTTCCCTGAAGGTGATTTTGGTATAGTGTCCACAAATTGCACCACTCTCACTTTCTTGTAATGAGCAACATTAGAGGCAACGAACGTCATTATATCTTCTTCACTTTCTTTCGCACCTCTGCTCATTACAACACAAGCAGCTGGGATCTCTCCAGCCTCTTCATCAGGCAACCTGCAATTCCATAACCTTATTGTAAATTAATGTAACAGATTAATTACATTTTCCCATTTAACACTAACAACACCCAAGTATTATAGTAGTAGAAGAAATGTCGGGTAGCTATGTGGTGACGCATACTTACGGCACAACAGCAGCATCTTCAACTGAGAGATGAGTGAGGAGGATAGCCTCCAGCTCGGCAGGAGCTACCTATTAAGCCAAAATAGTGGTACTAATTAGCCATTTAGTAGAAGTTGTTTGATCTTACTGTGTGCTGACCATAGCCATGTGCTTATGTTCCTTTGGCTTGCTAGAATACCCGAAAGCTAGCTGGGACCATAAATCCAATAAAGGTGTAATAAATTAAATACGTGATAAGATCGAAGTATTATAACATGGGGTATGATTCTTGGGTTTACCACCTAAATCTTCCAGCATCCCAGTTGAATTTCCGACTTTTATCGAGCTTGTTTCCAGAGTCTTTAATTTTATATTATCAATTATATTTTTGTACTGGATTATTTGTAGAGCTTAAACAGTCAATTTCTTGACGAGTCTCATCAATTCCCCCATGTTGGGAATTGCTTTAAATTATTCTTGCATAACAGTTTGTCCAAAAGAGAAAAGTGAGGCTATTTGAGCTTACTTGAAAACCCTTGTACTTGATTAGTTCTTTGATGCGATCCACAATGAAGACATCTCCATCATCGTCTATGTATCCAATGTCACCAGTGTGCAGCCATCCATCAGTGTCAATGGTCCTGGACGTCTCCTCCTCATTGTTGTAGTAACCTGGCGAGTTAGTTTAAAATCAAGCTAATCATCCGTGACAGTAGAGTTACATTAGCACTAATTTCTGAATAGTTTTCGATAAGTAATTAGTATCTTTGTACCTTGCATAACACATTGACTTCTTACACAAATTTCACCAGGGGTGTTCTTAGGGAGAGATCGACCAGTTTCAGGATCGATGAACTTGATTTCCAAATTGGGAAGGAGGAATCCTACTGAGTTTTTCTTTGCAGTGCCATGGCCTTTACTAGGATCTCCATGAGTTAGTGTGATGCAGCTGTGCTCTGTCAGTCCATATGCCTGCGAAAAACAAGTTAAGTAGCACATTTGAGCATGATCTATATATATATATACACGTATATTTGCAAAAAATATTTGATCAGATAATCACTATGAATCACAGGCGGAGCATTTTCTTGGAAATAAACCATTCAACAATCATGTCTAATTCGCAACAATGTAGTAAAATTATACTCACCTCTTGAACTTGGACGCCAGGGAACTTGTTTTCAAAGGCTGTGAGCAGCTCTGGGGCAAGTGGAGCAGCTGCAGTCATAATGGCCTTGAGTTTGAGTTTGCTGAGATCAAATTCCTCCACTATTGGGTTCTTTACTAAGGCCAAAATAATTGGTGGCACAATTGGTGCAAAATTGATCTCTTGTGTGATCAAGGCATTCAGAAATGTCCTGAGTTCAAACCTACCCATCACCACTACTTTCCCCTTGTTCCTGAGGGTGGCACAACATATTCCAGCGATGCCATATATGTGAAAGAAAGGAATTAAGCCTAGTGTGGCAACCTGACCCACCATTTCTGGTCCTACACTGAAAAGAGTGGAGCACAAATTAGCCACCAGATTCCGATGGGTTAACATTACACCTTTTGACATCCCTGTGGTGCCTGATGAGAATGGAAGCGCACATAGATCACTCTGGTGGACTTCCTCATAAGCAAGTATATCGCCGGCACGGTCAGCTGCATCAAGCAGTTCATTCCAATTCACGGCAGTGCTAATGCATACTTCACCCAGAATAATTATAGGTAGCCCTAGATCCTTCACCTGTATTCCCACGATACCGTTAAATAGAACTGAATTCATTACATTACTAATAATAAGACAGTTATTGTTACAATAATTATTACAAGACTAAACAAGTACCTTTCCATAATTAAGGTCATTTGTGACTATAAGCTTAGCATCCGCAGCCTCCACCTGCTTCTTAAGTTCTGATTCATGTGCAGTAGGATTAGCACCCGAAAACACACCACCAGCCGCCATTATTCCTAGAGCTACAATGCCATATTCAGCAACATTTGGGAGAGCTACAACCACCACATGTCCTTTTCTTAGGCCAAGAGACCTCAAGGCTTTGGCAAACCTTCTAGTGTCTCTAACCACCTCAGCGTAAGTATATGACTTTCCTGTCACAGTGTCCACAAATGCTACCTTGTCAGCATACAATTCAGCATCTTGGAGAACAAAATCAGGGAGTGTAAGGTCCGGCACCGGGACCGCCTCATGTCGGCTTTGGAAAATATGTTCCTCTTGTGCTGAGCGTGGAATGGAAGTTTCCATGGTGGATGAGAGACAGGGAAGAAGGACAAACTGTGTTTTAAAGGAAGGTAAAATCGTACAAAACCTTTTATGGTCATGTTTTGTGCATGGAATTAGAGAGTAATTAAGAGACAGGTGAGAGTGTAAGCTTGACATGGGCTTAGCTCGGTGGGTGTTTGTTGAGTCATGTCAAGATCACAGGCTATGCAATAAATCTACTTTCAGTATGCACTGATTTTTTTTTTTTTTTTTTTGGCGAAGGAATGAAAGGATTTTGTATTATTGAACTCAAAACATTGTCCATACGCAAAAAGACTTTCAAGAATATAATTCTTGGATTTGACATAACAAAACATGAGAATGAATCAACTTATTCAACCCTGTAACCCAGATTTAAACCAGCTTAACCATACTTTAAAAAAAAAAAAAAAACCTTAAAATTCAATCACAGTAAGCACGCTTTTTACCATTTTTTTTTTAATTACATTATACCTTGTGTGGAAGCTTTTCTTTAATGCAGAAGAATTATAGTTATATATATTTTTATAGATTAAACTAGCTATGTTAATAGACCTTACCATGTTTAGTGGATTCCTTAATCGAACTCTAGGGACATCCTAAGCCCAGCATAAATTATCTTAACAAGAAAAAGCCCAGCTTTAATTGTTAATTAAGGGTAACAAACAAAAATCAGACTGATATATCAAACCATATGTGAATTTTGAACTAAGCAGATCCGCTTAACAGAAATAACTGCCCTTTAAAACCAAAACCTTTTGGCGCTTCTCTCTCATGGACTAACCCCCCATTCATTTACTCTCTCTCTCTCTCTCTGAAAAAATAAGGAAAATTATATCAAGAAACCATACACATCAATGGAAGACGATGATCATAATCACATTGATCTTGAAATTGAGATTGTACTTGCAAGATTGAATAATCACATTCAAGACTTAGATGAAAACATCAATCTGGAAAGAATCAATATGGCCAAGTTGTTCAAGAAACAATTAGAACCGCTGAAGGGGTTATGGATTCAGCTTCACTCTTATACCGCGAGAAAGAGTCTTTGTCGATTAGTACGAGAAAAGATTTATGCAGCGGACGAATGGCTGAATCAGAGTATCACGGTTTCTGAATTGGAGGATCTAGATGCACATCTGGGTCGTTTGATGGAAAACAAAGATGCAAGATTCAATGAGCAACAAATCTTTGTTGCCAGCCAACTCAAGGAACTAGTTGTAAAACTGAAGGGGAGGCTCGGGGATTTTAAGCAAGTAAGACATGAAATGGCTCTTTACATAAAGTACTGGCTGGAGATGACCCATACTGCGGAAATCATCAAGAAAAGCTCTTCATCAATGCCTGGCGAAGATGACAATCACATTTATCTTGAATATGAAATTTTAGTTTCAAAACTGGAGCGTTACATTTTAGACCTGGATAAATATGTCAATTTGGAAGATGCCATTATTGCCAGGACATTCCAGAAAGAAATCCGATTGCTGAAATTTCATAGAGGGACCATTCCACCTGCTCAAAGAGGTGATATTGAGAAAGAGACCAGAAAAATAATTGACTATGTGAAGCAGTGGCTGAAAAAGAAGATTGACAGTCGAAATACAAAAGAGTATGTGTTCAAAATTTTTGTTCTGTTTTTCTTCACAGTTCAACATTTCGCTTCCGATTCAAGATATCATATGCTCCATATACTGCTGGCTTTCTTGGTTTATGATTTTTTAATATGGATTTTAGAAGTCACTGATCTTTTTCATGTTTACAGAATAGGAGATGGGAGGAAAGGGGAAGGCATGAGCAGCTCAAAGAGTTTGACGACGAGGAAAATCATCTATGTGCTTGTTGTAGATAAAGATTATAAGTATTTGATAGTTCACTGGTTACAATTTATCTTGTTTGGAAAGATCATGAATTATGACATGGAAGTTAGTGGCTCCACATATGGAAATTTAGCAGTGGATCGTATAAGCAAAGGAGCTTCTTTTGATCTCATTATTATGGACTTGCACAGGTCCACAAATGGGGTTGAGGTATTGTCCCTTCACATTGATACTCTGGAGTCTGGAGTATAATTAAAATCATAAAAGAAAGCAAGGACTGTATATATGCTCCAGAAAGTCATTTTTCATAATTTATTGGTCTTGTTTGTTTCGTTTTTGATATGGTTTAATGGAGTAGAAAGGCAGCAACAAAAGAAAGTTGACTTATCCATATAGATATTGGCCTGCTTACAGAGATGTAGTAGTGTTTCTTGACATGATTTTAAGGCCTTCTTGTTTCTCCATTGATAATTTTAGCCTCTGCAATTGACATTTACTAATATATGGGTGTACTTCTTATCACCATTCTATGATAGGCGACAAAGGCGCTACGAGCCATGGGTGTGAAAAGCAGAATTATTGGCGTCACCTCTTCTATTTCTGAACAGCTTCAGCAACAAGCTTTGGAAGCAGGTCTAGATGGCTGCTTTGAAAAGACATTGAAGGCTGATGTAATTGTTTCTCTTCTCTTGTAGCCAGCGAACAAAATGATCAGCATTTTGAAGCAAAGAGCCAATTGATCAATAAGCTTTACAGCATGAGTTGTTTTGGATCTAATTGGTCCATGTTATGCTCTCTTATAGTTTGAGAGATACGAACACCTGATCATAAAGTTTCTTACTAGCTATTCTATAAACATAAACGAGTTGTAGAACTAGAACCAAATTTTCTTAGAGGAGGATTAAGACCAAAAGAGATCGACAAGCTTGAAGCTAATTTGGCTAGCTTGGAAGTGACTATGCTGCATTAGCTTGCAAAGTGCTGAAATTGTGTGTTAGTTTCCTCTGTCAGTCCTGATGTCAACCATTCTGCTGGTGATACGTTTTATTCTTGGACTTGATAACACCAGATTTAGGTAAATGAGTACAAGTTGTACAATTTGTTTTCCCATGTGCTATATTTTTCTTAGAGGTGCTCCTTTTTCCTTCTAATTAATTGTGTTCTGGTCATTTTTTTGGATTTGCAAAATCGAGTGGAGGGGAATGCATTTCTGAATCAGGGCAAAAAATGGAAGCAGCAGAAACTTTTTGTAAATAAAGCCCAGAAAGTAGTTTCAGAACTGGATCATTTCATTTAAAAATTACAAGAAAAGAGTGACTATTGCTCCAATGAAATCATTGCTGCCAAGTCGTACAAGATATAAATTGAAGCATTAGTGATTGCAAGAAACAATCTTGATCAACAGTGTATGTCAGTCGTATTGATTGGTCTTCAATAATTGGCAAGCTTGGACTAATTTCAAGAATCAATGCTCACTTGGGTTATTTAGCCGATGAAACTAACTTTCCCGCCAAACTTCTTGTTCCAGTTAACCAAAACCATATAGACAACACCTGCCATTTATCTTTCGTCACCTGTCACCATTTTCCCACCTCAACATCACCTATCTGTCAACTTAACCAATTCTTCCTTAGCAGAAATAACCACTCTTTGGATATCATAAAATTTTAGGAAACTGAAGGAATAATAAGTGTAAGCTAAAAAAATTTTTATGATAAATTTCTCGTGTAAATTACTGATCCCACAGAGAGATAGACGTAATAATAATAATAATAGAAGAGAAACTTAAAAAAAAGAAATTTGACTCAAGATGCAAATCTTGTTGGTGGGTCTCGTACTCTCGTCTCTCACGCACGTCAATAACTCTTTCACTTTTCTTTGTATCCTCTCTCTCTGTCAAAATCAAGCTAAAGATGGGTGTCAAGAGTCAGATCGAAGGTGTCACTTCTCAGTCTGACCAACAAGCTTTCATCGATGCTGGACTAGACAACTACATTCAAAAGCCATGAATTCTGCAAAGATCACTTCTGTCCTCCCAGATCCCAACAAGAGAAGAAGGATTGATGCATCATCACAAACTTGAGAGTTTCTGGGTTTCATTGGTCTATGCTAGTTTTTTTTTTTTTTTTCAAGGAAATTTGATGTATAGGTGAACTCTATGAATAAAGTTTCTGAGTAGCTAATTATTCTAAGAAGATGATAAATAAATAGTTGTACAAACAAATAACTGTTGCTCTTCAAGCTGAACTAGGAAGTGTTGCATTGGCTTAGTAAAGGGAACAGAAGTGGTAGAATTTCTTAGTATTACAAGCTTAGAATTTTTTAGTTTATATTAATTTAACGAACACTTTTACTTTATAGGCACTCTTATATTTTATTATTATCATCTCTTCCACCACCACCTCCACCCATTTCACACCTTAAGTGATTTAGCTAGCACTCTATCCCCAGTTTTCTGATTCATGAAGTCGAAAGTAAACTGAATAGTTAGTCAAGTTCATTTGTAAATTTAACTGCGAAGGATTTCTTGACTGTTTGAGCTCAATGTCCATTGCTTCTTTTCACTTCCTAATTTTGCAAAGAAATTCTACCGAACACTAATCATTTTCAGGTTAATTATGGCTGCGAATTGTTAGCCTAAAGAGACTTATCTGAATCCATCCATAATTGATAATTCTGTGGCAACTAATTTCGCACTAATAATATTTTCAGGTTGAGATAGTATTTAATCAGTTAGCCTGAGATGGAAATTACTTCATAATTCTGTGGCAGCTTAATTTTTCCTAGCCATACGACGTTTATCAAATAAAAGAGCTTCTTGTTTGAATAAAAATTTGATGAAGAATAAGAGCAGGATGTTATTTTACACCTTCATAACAATAATTTTTTCTTTTGATACTGTATCAGTGACATTGCTCAGAAGTAAGTTTGAAAAGAAACAGAGGATTAGAAGAAATACTCTTCTATTTTGAACACTTCTACTAAGATAACTCTCAAATTGATCTTGAAAAGAGTGATCAGTGCTCCAAAGACTGTTGCCAAGTCAATATAGGGTGTGGATCAGACGTGGTGAATTTCTTATGGTGCTTCCCTCTTGATCACCATAACTCTATTCTTCAAGGCTTCAACAAGGCCAGATAGTTCTTAGGATATTTTGAATCTTGTACAGTATTTTTTTTTTATTAGTGCAGTAATTAGGTTGCAACAAAAAATAACTGGGCTTTAGTGATTGTCAAAGAAACCTTACCTATGGTCGAAAAATTTTTCCCAAGTATTTTTCCATCAAAGACAGTTGATATTGATGAATCCCAGAAAGAAGAAGACAATAAGACTACATTCAATCATTCTTGGGGGATCAAGGAAATTTTGTATACTATATGAACTCTTGATTAAGTTTCTTACTAGTTGTGGGATGAACATTATCAATGAATTGCGGAGCCAAGTTCACTTAAAGGATTATAAAGATCGATGAGACTCGAGTTACTGTGACTAGCTAGCTTGGAAGTGTCTATGCTGAATTAGCAGGGGAGTGCTTGATTACTGTTTCGTTTGGTTTTGTCCTGATGGTTAAGACATATCACATGCTTAAAAGTTCTGTATTAGCTATATTTTCTCTTGGTTTAGTTTTTTCCTTACCTAACCCTTGCTCATCTGTCTATCTATCTATCTGTATCTATCTTTCTATACATCTTTACATATACACACACACACACACGAAACAAAAGCCAAGAACTGAGATTATATCAGAGAATGCGCTGCGCCACCAAGGATTTTAAGTTTAATTGAATAGAAAGAGAATATAGAAGATCAACATTATGAATTAGACCAGGATGGCTTTTTACCGTAACCGACCAAAACTATTGTAAAAGCTTTGGAGGCTATTTTCGTTACAAATGTGGTATGAACATAAACGAACTGCAGAGCCAATTTCACTTAGAGGAGGATACAAGCGATCTAGTCTGGAGACTCGATGGTGCTTTTCTGGCTGATGTAATTTGGCTCTTTTCGAGTCTTCCTTTTGTTTTGTTGGTAAGGTGCTTTTCTGGTTGGGCATAGGAGATTTGAAGTCTTGTTGTTGGCTCTAATATCTTGACTTGACCATCTGCATTCGTTCTAGTGATAATCTATATCCATATTCCATATCCTATGCAGTCATTGTTCTTTGTTCTTCGTTCTTCGTTGGTCTAAATGGCTGCTTTCAAAAACCTATGACTTTTGAGATAATCGCTACTTTTCTGTTGAACCCCATAACCAATAACTGATCTAGATCATGACGAGAGATCTGCCAATCGGTCCAAAGCTTAGCATGATCTTTTTGGATCTCTAGTCGATTCAAGATTCTTTTTTTTTTTTTTTAAGAGATATAAACTCATAATTTTTTATTACTAGCTCTGCTATGACTGGATTGCTTTAATGATCCATTACGGTTTATTTGCAAAAATAATTTACTTCAGTTATGGATATGACATGTCGCTTGTTTCAAATTATTATTATTCATTTTTAACCTGCATGTCACTAGTTAGACTAATCAGGTTACATGACTTGCAACTCGCAAAGCTATTCCACCCAGCACTAATCATTTTCAGGTTAATTATGGCTCCAAATTGTTAGCCAAGTAAGAATGATCTGAATCCATCCATACTTAATAATATTTCCAGATTCCTTATTTGAATAAAACTTTGACGATGAAGAAGAGCAGGAAGTTATTTTGCACCTTCGTATAACAATGGTTTTTTCTTTTAATACTGTATCAGTAGCCTTGCTAGATAAAATAAGCATCTTATGCATGCTTTGAATTTTTTGGACTTGAAACCTGGGAAATTATTCAGTGTGTGTTTTTTTCCACAGCCCACAACCTACAGGCACAGGCCCAGCCCACAAATAAAGTAATTAGTTTCATATATATATATATATGTCCTCTGATCCTCTCTCATTCTCACATAACCGCTCTTCATTTGGAGCTCTCTGCAAATTAACCAATTCACCTCTCTCTAAAGCCAGAAAATCAAGAAACCATTCATCGTCAAGAGATCACGCTCAAACTGATACTGACTGACATCGGTACCCTGATTGCACAAATGACTTTTTCTCTTGAAAGCTGCGCTCAAGAGATCAATGAATCTCCTGAGGGCCAGATACGCAGGGAGGCAATCGAAGCAATGATGCAAGCAGAAAGGATAAACTCCCTCCATAAGACATTGATGGACGAATGCACTAAAATGTTTCGTGACCTTGACGAACTGAATGCTCACATTTCTGATAGTGATCAAAAGATGACTGGATCTACCAATATGTACATGGAAGGAATCCAGGAACTGAAGAAAGACCTAGAAGAATCCACGAAGCTATTCGATGAGTTAATGTCCAAGAAGACGGATAATGATCACGAAAGAAACCATCTTGAAGTAAGAGAAAAGATTGATTCTGTGAATCAATGGCCGAAAGAAAGGACCATGGACATTGACGATAAAACCATTAAGGAGGAAGATAGTCGAACTGGATTTGATCCTTCTGCTGCTCTCGAAAAGGAGCAAGATTTGCTTAGTTTAAGGAATGGCAGTGAAGACACAGATCGGTTGGTATTATTTTATTGGCCTTTTTTTTTTTCAGTTTAGACTTTAGAATGTGTAGTTCGTTGGCTCCTTTTAGGTATTGCTCAGTTTAAAGCTTCAAGATCGTGAACAATGAATTCTAAGAATTGGCAACCATTTTCATGTTCACAGAAGCGGAAAAAGGCAGAAACTGGGGCATGAAGAAGGAATGAGCAACTCACGTAGTTCAATCACTAGCAAAAAGTTCACTGTGCTTCTTGTGGAATATGATAATTTTGCTCGAATATCCAACAAGGTACGGATAATACAGCAATTTGAAAGGAACAATTATCCTGAGGTGGAAGTAAAAGTGACCAGAACTGGACAACAAGCTGCGGATCTTCATCGTCATGAAGGGCCTCCTTTTGACCTCATTCTTATGGATATGGATATGCCTGTTCACGTTATGAGTGGGCCTGAGGTATATTTTTCCGGCCTTCAACTTAAGAGAGTATATTTTCATAGTAGTACATTTTTTAGTTCGTTTGTTTTATGAGAACTTGGGAATATAGAGATAGTACGAAGACAATCTGTTTTCTGATAAATCACAAAGAATTTCATTAAAGATCTACAAGTTTAGTTCAAAATCCAAGACAAGACCCATTAACCAATTTAAAAGGATGTGTCCAGAAACTTTCTAAAAAAATGATCATACGATGAATCACTTCCAATAATGTAGCTTAAGACGATCTCTTAAAAGAATAAAGTACAATAATGTGATATAGCATGGTAGATTGAAAGGGCAGCAACTTTAGGAAGGTGAGTCACATAATGAAATATGCAGCATCCATAGAAATTAACTTCACTCATCTGATGAATTAGAGAGCTCCACAAAGAGCTGTATATTTGCGCTTCATGATTCTGTAAGGATATCCATGTATAATTTAATTCCTTAAGCGAAAATGGTTGTGGTGGAGATATATAGATCGACCTTAATTCTTGCTAATATTCTAATTCTTAAAGATTATTTCATGGAAGTTGTCAAATTTTCTCATGATAGCATATTTCATGGAAGTTGTCAAATTTTTTTTTCATTTTATGCTATCAACACGGTTTTAATATTTATTTACATCTACTTCTTCGATCATAATTTTATGATAGGCAATAAGATTGCTGCGGAGCCTCGGTGTGGAGAGTAGCATTGTTGGCGTCACCTCTGAGTCTGAGTCTGAGAAGATTGATGAGTTCATTCGAGCTGGCCTAATTAATGGCTGCATTGAAAAGCCACCGAATGTTGAAAAGATTGCCTCTTTCCTCCCTCTTGATTCCCAACAGGCAATAACTGACCCTCCGCAGGAAGACGAAGGACTGATCGATCCCTGAACTTTATAATTTGAGTTTTGGGTGTAATTGGTCCACGTTCCTTTCTTTCACAGCTTCTTTCTTGTAGATATTGTAGGACCATAAATGAATTGTTGAACCAAATTTAGAAGTCAGAGGAGGATAAAGACTAAGTAGAGATGAATGAGCTTTTCGTACAGATTTGGCTAGCTTAACTGGAAATCGTCTGAGCCGTTTTAGCGATTGTGCTTTGTTTCCAAGAAAAATAAATGCCGAGGACAGAACTTCTTAGAAATTCTTATCGTAGTTGTCATTTTTTTCCCCTAATGTTTGATTGTTCTGTTGGTTTGGTCATTACATGCATATTAGAAACGACTAGACTCTACATCTGAAGGAAATAGACCGTGCATGATTCGACTTTTTTTCCTCATAATGATAAATACCGCACATTACAAGCATCGAGGTTTCAGAGAACTACTAGCTTTGCTCTCCTCTGTTCCTTCGTCTTTTTTAATTAGCATGATTCCAGTTTTGAATCTCACCAAATAACTTAAAGAAGGAAATATATATATATATATATATATAGAATGGGTTTAATCACATCAAACATGTTTTTGCTCTTGATATTTTTTAATGTGTTCTCTATATATATTTTTTTCAATCTCTCCTTGTGATCTTCAATTTTTCTTAATATGGACTCTTCAACTATTTTTCGATTAATTTTTTGATCAAAACGACAGCTGGGATAAATAATTCACGTGACATAATATGTTATATTTTTTTTGCCACGTATAATTTTATGTTTTCTCCACCCCCTCTCTCTCTGTCTCCCCTCTACTTTTTCTGTGTTTAATTGCCAAAATTACCTGGTCACAGCCAAAATTTCTGATCATGATGATGGCGTCACATCGAAAAATTTTATAATACACAAGGAATAATTAGTGGCATGTACATGCAGCTTACTCCTTGGATCCACTTTGACGAGAGAGATAGACATATAAAAAAAGAGAGAAATTACATCTATACCCACCAAAAGTGATAAGAAGGTTTCCACGTCCGTTCAAATTTTTTTATTTTCTCTCTCCTATTTTTCTCTCTCTCTTTTTGTGTGTCTATCTCTCTCCAAAAAATGGGCTCAAAGAATAACTATTATACATACCACTAATTACTCCTTGTGTATTATAAAATTTCTACCGCCACGTCGATTTACAATGACATTCTACTAATAGCGAAACAAATATACTTTGGTATTGGCTAGTGTGGAGTGCCATCATGATTTGTATTGCCCCAAAATTAACCTTTGCAGTAGAGGACTAGGAAAGGAGGATATAAGCCAGCTAGTCAATTTGACAAGCTCCTGGAGTAGGATCCTTCAAAACTGGAAATCTATGATTATTCTGGCCAGGAAGAAATCCCAATGATCAGAACAGTACATTCTCAACAACCTAATCAAATAATAACAGGATTGTAAAATAACTGCTGCATGCAACAAGATCAATCACCATTCTGTCTCGGGCACTTGCGCTGTCACAAGGAAGTTCATCAGAAGGATCGAAAGTTGACAACGTGGATAAGCCAATAGATGCCCTGACAGAAGGAGGACAAATGAAGGTGCCTCCCGCCGAAGATATTCTTGCTGCATCTGTGAAGTTGTTTCAGAGTAGTGATACGATGGCATTCTCGTTGACGGATTTGCTTGTGGCCCTTTGCAATCGGAACAAAGGAGAGGACCCGTCTAAAGGTGGCATCTTATCTTATTGAGCAGCTAAAGCTTTGCCCCTTGGATTTTTCAAAGGATTCCAGTGCATTTTGTATGATTTCACATATTCTAGCATTGCTCCTTTTTTAGGATGGAACTGTTCGATAAATTGCTGCACAGAATGGTATTGCTGCTGCTGCAACAGATGTTTTGATGAATTTCAAGGCTAGATATGCATCAGGGAGCGAAATTCTTGTACCAAAATGCATAAGTGCTTTACTGCTTATCTTGGATAACATGTTGCAATCCAGGCCCAGAGTCTCTTCTGAATCTGCGGGAGGACCCAGACTGTAGCTCCACTTGACGCATCAGTTCCGGCATCAGGTATGGATGAAAAAGTGGCTTCAGACTTTCCTGAGAAAGAATCTGATGCAGCACTTGAGAAATATTGGGGAAGTCAACTGGTTACCTGACTATTGAAGAGAGTCATACAGTAATACTTGTTGCTTGTGACTTGATGAAAAGCACGTCCTTGCTGTGATCATGCAGGCTATTAGGTAGTTACGTTCTCGCTTGACAAAAACTCACGTTTTAGCCTCGCAATTTCTTGAAAACGGAGGGTTAGCTGCTCTCTTTAGTCTTCGAAGAAGTTGCTTCTTCCCTGGATATGACACTGTTGCAGCTGCCATAATTCGGCACCTCCTTGAAGATCCTCAGACTCTGCCAAAAAAAAAAGCCAACAAAAAAAAAAAGGGAGAGAGAGAGGGAGAGAGAATAAAATCATTTTTTCAATTTTTTTTGACGCGACAAAAAAATATGACGTGTCATGCGTGGATTATTTTATCCCTTTTGTCCATTTTGATCGGAAAAAATGATTGAAAAAAGTCAGAGGGCCACATTAAAAAAAATTGAATAGTACTGAGAGGAAGTGAATAAAAAAAAAGTGCAAAGACCACATTGAAAAAATGTCAAGTGTAGAGGAATGTTTGATACAATTAAACCCAAGAGAATGTGGTTTCTTTAGCATTTCAATTCCTGCTAACCATTTGTTGAAAAATGATACCGACGATCATCACCTGGACAAGAAGTCTTACCAGAACTTTGAATCCTTCTTAGTCTGTAAACGTATTTGGCCTGCTTAATTTGTTTGAGCAGCAAATACAATACAAACCTTTAATTTGTAGCTCTTTGCCTTTGGACATTAGCTTGTACGCTTCCTCTTTTCATTAGAAAAATGAACAGCTTTTTAATTCATGAAAACGCTAGGCAGCAATAAGGGGATAATTTCTGATTGCATAAGTTGATGCATGGGGCGCAATGACCATTGGCGTAACTCATGCTGGAGCTGAAACGCCAAACTTGTCCTTTTTGGCATCAACCAATACAGAAATGAGGCGTAGAGATCCCAGACATTGCTTTTGTTTGATTAATTATACTAAATCTGGAACTGTATATAGACGTTACTGAAAATTTAATCTCAATTCTATGTATAGCTCTATACTCATGCTACTATCAACACAGAAATAAAGTGTTTTGCAAATATACTAACAAATTTATCTTGTTGATGACCATGCCACCAATTCTCCATGTGTACATTTGCAATTTTGTATGCAGAACGTGTGTTATTATTTTCCTTCAAACAAATACTTCTTTTTTTTTTACCAAATAAAAATGTCATCCTTGATGCGTTCAAAAATCTATCTAATTTTCACAAATCCTTGTTTCTTGCCTTTTTTTTTTTTTTTTTTTAATAGAACGATAATAGTCATTCCTAAATATTAATCCCAAATAATCAAGATACAATTACTAAAGAGGAAAACTATATTTCTGGTCCAACATGTGTGTGTGTGTATTAGTAATGGGTAAGATGCATGTTGACGACCATGACGGCCTTGTTTCTCCTGGGCTCATGTATTTATCTTGTTATGGGCTTTAACAACATATGACTCAACGGGCCTTGACCCAAATCTATCCTCCAGCAGTTCGCATCATCGATTTAACCGGTTTCTCCCTCACTCGTCTTCCCAACAGTCGATCAAATCCAAAAACGTTGTTTGTTGCTTCGCGAGTTCTAAAAATTGAACAGGTAATCTCTGCTATCAATACTTATGTAAATTGATTCTCTTCATTATTGATTTGGGTTTATTAGCTCGATTTGATCATTTTAGTGGTAGACTCTAGGGTTTTCATTTTATAGTTAGCTGGTCCTGTTTGGCCAGTATTCTTGATTTGGGTTTCCTTTGGGAGAATTCATGAACTGGATTTTTTTATGCTCTTTGTTTGATTTTGAAGTTAAGAGTTTTTTAGGAAGAGAAGATGGGGTTTATTATGGAATTTGCTGAGAATTTGGTCCTGAGGTTGATGGAGGATCCAAAGGAGAGGGACCGGAAGTTCAGGGAGCACGTATATGCAGTCAAGGATCGATGCCAAAAGACCAAGGAGATGTGGAGCTATCCTCTTCGCCCTTATGGGTTTTGGACATTTGAGCGCCACAATGCACAGCTTGCTTGGGATGCTAAGATTAGCCAGGTTCCTGGTCGAAGGGACCCCTATGATGACCTCCTTCAAGATAGCTATGGCTTCTCCAAGTGAATGCAATTACTCAAGGTTTGTTCTTGCAAGTTTAATTGAATTTGAATCTGATTGGTGTTATGTTGATATCATGTGGTGTGGAGCATGTTAAGCTGTAAAATCTGATTGCAATTTGAGATAAATTTTTTCTTTTCACCTAAAGTCAACCAAAGAAGCTTTTTGCACTTGCATAAATGGCTTACACTTTTTTATTGGAACTCTTGATAAATTTATCAACGGCTTTGACAATGAGAATATGAGGTTGCCTGAAGGGGCAATGATGACTCAGCTAGTGAAATGTAAGAAAATGCAATTATTTTTTGATCTCGTGATGGATTTGATCTGTAGGATACTAAACCGTTTTTCGATTTCACTACTTTCATGCATTTACTTCTGTTTGTTAGAAGGGTTAATCTTCATGTCTGAGCATAAATTGCAATGAGCTGTTTGAGTATTGTTGTTTTTTATTTGCTTTTTTTCCTTTTAAGGATTGTAACCAACAATTCAAATATAGCCGATGTTCATAAAGCCTTTTGGCTTCATACTTTTAGTTGTAACCATAAGAAATTTTACCTTACTATGTGCTCTTAGGGGAATGTGTTTCTATTAATGCATTTCTTATTCTCATGCTTTTATAGTTTGAATGGTTATCCGAGATTTATTGCATTTCACAGAATTTGGGATAAAGCAGCATAGAGATATGTTTTGGAACTTTGAAACCTGATTTAGTAGTTGATTGGAAAAAAGTACATAGTGTGCGGTGTTATTCATCAATCCTTATTTTGCTTAGAAAATCAAAATTATTTTTCTATTCTTCTGATTATTTATGATGCGACTTCATCCAAAGCTTCATCTTCTGGGTCATTGCATACTGTTTATCAACGCGAACCTAATTTATCATCATCACAAGTTATATGGGGAAGCGTTTTTTATTTGAGTCTAATAGAAAACTATTACCAATCTCTTTGCTTATTATGCAATCAATACTCATTAATTTTGTCCCATTGATGCAGAAACCTCAGTTTCCATTGGCAGACTGACAAGGGCCGTTCTTGGAGGAACGAGAGTGGAGATTGATGCCTAAGCTCTTTTTTTTGTTTTTTCCCTCCGTAGTAGTCGTGTGTTCTGTTGACTATACGAGTGTCGGCTGGTTTTGTAATACCTTGGATATTCCAGACTTGTTCGTGAGTTTTAATAATTGTTCATATAACTCTTGCCAATGGAATTAAATGTTCATGTGATTACTCCTAATCTTCTTTCTTGCTTGGCATGACACTCTTTTTTCACTAATAAATTCCCTCCAGTGTTCCGTAACTGGGTCAGGGAAAGGTTTTCTTGTTTTTCCTGTACCTCATCCTACATATTCTTGCTATTTTTCCTTGGGGATGGCATCGACCAGAGTAATTTATCAGAATTTGGACTGCAAGGAAGATACTAAGAATACAGTTGCAACTGCTCCTTGTAAACCTTTTTTCAATTATATTCAGATTTCAAACCATGACGATTTCTGAGATGTTTACTGGCATGTTCGTCATGCTGTATAGAAAATCTGTCGTAAATATAACATGCAAACATCTCACAAGGCTGTACAAACTTGCCTTCATGATAGAACAAAATATTTTGAGAATTGAGAATGTAAGCAATGTTAACTTGAAACCGTGAAAAACACACAGGACCTTCATCCTACTTATACAATGCGAAGTAAGATGTACTCAATAAGCATTTCAGCCCATGAAGGAGTATCAATATAAGGTTTTTGGCCAGTACGAGAACAATATCTCACGGAAGATAAATAGACTGCTGCTTAAAAAGCAGTGCGTCCTTGCCTTTTTGCGTCTTAATGACAGGGTCCAATAAGCCAATCCATTAGGCCAGAGGGTTCTAGATAAAAGCGTGCATATCTTAATGCAGGCTCGAATCTTATTTAATTCACTGCTATTATCTGGAGGAAAAAAAAAAAAACAAAGTAGAATTACAGAACATTCACATCCACTGATATGAAAAAAAAGGGTCAAACTTGAGTTCATTTACATATTGGCAAGCAATTCACATTTCAACCCACACCCACAAACCCTATCAGATTTTCACCCACCGTACTACTAGGCTAAGGATGCGCTTACACTAACTGCAACTATTTTAATCAGAGTCCGATGAATCCGAACCTTCTTTACGTACAGTTGCATCTTCTTTCTTCTCTGCGTCACCTTCTTGCTTGAATTCCTTCGAGATCTCATCAATTGGAACCAAAGGCAGGTATCCAAACACTGCATAACCCCTCTGGTTCATATCCTTAACAAAATGGTTGTACTTCTGTGCCAAACTCGTAGCTGCGGGAACAGCCACCTCTCCAACTCTGTGTATGGAAGGATACTGGTCGAGTTTAACCCACACCTTCACAGATTCAGTGAGGAATAAATGCTTAGACTCTGTAGCTACATAATAAACAGCAGCTCGTGGTCCTCCAGCTTGAAATTCATTTGCAAGCACTTTCGCCTTTTCTGACGCACTTTTTATCAAATTGCGTGCTTGGCTCACAACTTGCTTAGCAACTGGTGGAGCATGCTTATCAAACTTAATTGTTGCTTCATCTACCTGCAGCAATCAAATATAGGCTATAACTTCTGCTTTTTCAGGACCATATGTAAGATATAACTGCTGCTCCTATAATTTAAATCATCACGCTCATGAGGGCTGAATTTGACCACAAAGGAATTGCTGATCTTGCAACTAGAACACTTAATATTAGATTTTGATTGCTGCAGTTTTTACCCAAAAAAATCAAGCAAAAACTTGCCAAATCGACCATCCGAAAAGCAACAGAAATTTTAATCAAAACTACCTCTCTTTTTTTTTTTTTTTGATAAAACAACTTATTAAAAAAAAAAAAAAACACAAATGACGGTAGGAGAATTTGTATTTTTAGCAGTTATAAACCATAAACCCAAAGAGTACCAACATTATTATATGAAAATAGTTCTGCAAAATAATCAACTAAGCTAACAACATGATTTACGAAAATTTCAAACTTCACAGAAACCATCTGTCCAGATTAGAAAGAAATATTAAAGACAAGTAAAAACGTCAAAAATCAAAAGAGATAGGAAAGAACCTTAAATTCAAATCAAGAAAGTCAGATAAGAAACCAACAATCAAAGCACAGATATCAGATGAAAAATTACCTTGTGATCAAGAAAGACAAGGAGATGATCAGGGACGCCCTTGAATTTCTCATAAACAGGACCCACCACAGCAGTAACAGTACCATCAACAGTTCCAACAGCAGATCTCAAAGGCCCGGAGTTGCGTTTCGCATAATCGTAAAGATTGGAAACGCAAACCAAAACCTGAATCGCAGCTATCCTCACAAACCTTAAGTGCTTCAGCTCTAAATCTTTCTTGTTGTTCTCTACCTCCATCATCTGCATCAAAATCTAAACCAAACAAATTGAAAAAAGAAAACGATCTTATTGTTTAATTATTTGTTGTTGATTCTTTGCGTTTCCTTATTCTTTAGAGTGTGTTCTCGTGGCGGAAAGTTAAGAATCAGGGTTTGCGTTCATATAGTGAGGGAGAGCGCGTGATATGGGTGTTAGTTAATCGGGAACGTTAGGATGATCTCACGGTCGAGAGAAGATCTAGACGCACATCATGTGGGCTCCGTGTTTGGATCAAGATTCTTTCTTTCTTTTGTGTTTTCTTATTCGTTTGTAGGATTTTGTAGAGAGTCATGTGGAGGAGGCTAGGACTAGGAGACAGTAGAGGCTTCTGGAAGGACACGTGGTGGTTGGTGACATGGCGGAGGGTGGAAAATGGAAACTTCGATGAAGTTCGTTCCTATTTTTGTCCTTTTGGTTCCCTGGGTGAGGAATGGTGGAAGGTTCTGGCCAAATGTCAACTTTCATGTTTCCATTGCAAGGACCAGGCAAATTTGTGAGGGAAATTGGAAAATGATTCTGTGCCCATTTCTTGTAGAATAAGAAAGGCAAATGTTTGGAAGCTCGAACAGTCACTCGTGCGAGTTGACCTATTGTGCATACAGCACAATTCGCTAGTCTTAATTCATACATATACACACACTGGCACGCTTTGTTGCCGATATAATTTGAAATCTAATAAGACATGTTCATAATTCAATCTAAATCTAGTTGAATTTCTTTTATAATGGAATTCTTGTTGATTCATTTATTTTATTTTAAAGGCTGTGGGTATCTCGTGGAGGATTCTCTCTTTCATTCGTTTGGGATGTGCAGCAACTTTTTGGATGATCAATGGGTCACTGAAAGGAAATATGTAGATTCCCATTTCCAATTGTCACGACTCGTGAGATCAGTATATGGATTTTATTAAAGTAGGTTTGAAACAAAGATGTTTAGGAGAACGAATACGACTTCAATAACCAATTCGATCCTACTACTAACTCCCTGTTTAGATAGAGGTGAAAGTGGAGGAGAGAAAAAAGGTGAAAATAAAAATTTTCTTCCATTTGGAATATAGAGGAAATGAGAGAAAAAAAATAAATAAATATATGTTTTTTTCGTAGGATTCATTTTCCTTCTAATTTTTTGAGGAAACTGAAGGAAACTTGAAGCTTGACTTTTTTTTTTTTTTTTGCTTTCTTGTTTTTACCCTTGCTCCATCCATGTGACAAGAAAAAATAATAACAAATTTTAATTTTCCTCTCATCCCACAGGCTGCAATGGATTAGTGTAGCATCGATATCAGTAAAGAGGACTACATCCATGAGAGTCAATTTGCTATTTGGATGTTGAAGGCTACGTTAGACGATATTATTGTGGTCCACCTCCGACAACAAGAAGTCATCAGAGCTCTGGAGTTTATTTCAATTGTTCTCTTCTCTCTTTTTCTTTAAATTAATTAAGAAATATTTTTAGATAAGCTTTTAATAAACCAAAACTAAATGCAATTTTGTGTAGGAATAAATTATACATTATTAAGTACAGTTTCGAGAAACAAATTAATTAGTTATTTCTATTTTAAAAATTAATAAATTAGTTTTTTTGTCTATTTTATATGTTTTATATTTATTGTTTTTCTATTAAAAAGGAAAAATAAATAAATAAATGTTATGAAAAAAATTAATGAGAATAAAAAAATCAAAATAAAAATATAATCCTAAGGATATACATATATATGTATACATATATGTGTATATATATATATATTTTACAATTATTCAAATAAGAAAATATATATATATTTTTTTTTCACTCTTATCTAAACAACAAATGAAAAATAATTTTATTTCCTTTCACTTTTTTTCTCTCTTTTCTTTTCCTTCAAGGAAAAATTATCCAAACAAGAGGTTAAGTGTTTTGTGGAATATCACAATCTGGTGGTGAAGTCCAATCAATGGACTAGGCAAGGTGTCACACAGGATAATATAAATATATCATACGAGGTCCAATCTACTTGAATTGCATAAAATGTTAAATTAATAAAGAATCATCATTACATGGTTAAAGGTTAAACAATCAGGAGATGTTGCTTCATCATTGCTCAGAAAGAAAATTTTAAATCAGGCTGAGACCTAGCAGAAACATAAAGGATTATGGATTGGTTCATACGTCATTTCATTTTTAACTAAAGTGATAAAACAATGGGCTTGGTTGGTAAGTGGCCGGTGGTTTCAAGTTGGAAAATCCACACCAAGGTCACTCCTACTTTATCAAACGGAAGGCAAGAACCAAACACTCTAGAAACCTGGGAAAGCTACCCCTCAAATATCAGTTATATCAGCAAACACAATTCTAGCCTTATGTTTGTTTGTTGAGGAAAGATCCAAGCTAGCTAGCCAACCAGCATGCATATAGGCCTCTTCCTCGGATGGGAGAAACCCTCTAGCCCAGTAATCCAACCACTGTTAATAATTATTTGATGCTCATAATCAGGAGTGGTAAAAGTTAATGCAACCCCTTGCAAGTCTTACCAAGTCATACTACTACTGGAAGTTTCCTAACAGGCCAACGTCATGATCTTGTCGTTTGGAGGCAATCCATCCTTTTTTCTTAGTACATAGGGTATCCCAAAAGAAAAAAAATACGGAAAAAAATAGTGTAGAAGGTACGAGACTAGCCGATCAGACAAATCGCGGCTTGTAGGCACTTCACATGACATTGACATTTTAACTCACCTTTAAATTCTACCATTTTTTTTTACCTTAGCAGTGCTCTATTAATCGATAGAAAACTAAGTGACCTTATAGTTTTGGACAGAAAATTATCTAGTTAATAGACAAGATTGAACATCGTTAGCATCGTAATTTGTAGAGTAAATCAAATTCCCTTGCTAGATCAGTTTACCAGACCTTTAGGAACTATATCCCAATGAAACACATTCTAACTCATGAAGAAGAAGCCACAATGCATGAGAATGCTTAAGTATTCTCAATGGGAAAAGCGCTGCAAAATGGAAGGGCCAACATTTGACTGACCCTACATCACAGAGTTTTTTTTTTTTTTTTCACACTAAAGTACTTTCAAATGTCTATATCACGTAAAAAATAATTAAAAAATCAATAGAGCCTCTTCCTATGCATTATAATTCAATCATCTAAATTTTGAAAAAAAAACATTTTTTATGCTATAAAATTTAAACCTCAATCTAAAATTATAAAAACTCTAGATTTTATAAACTTTAATAAAATAAATATTTTTTTCCTATCTTGATGTTATATATAGCTTCTTTATCTTTTATCAAAAATAAAAAATCTTCATACATTCAACCGTATTTTATATCAAAACAGAATGACTACAAGAAGCAGAGGAAAGATAATGAAAAACAAAAGGAAGATCACTAATGATTAATTAGTAAATTTACATTAACTTTATAATGAATTACGTAAAGAAATATTAATAAATCAGAATTCTTCGAGTTAAAAAAATCTATCAACCCTAAATTTGATAAGAATCCTAACTATGGAGAGGGAGAGAGTAAAAGAGAAAAAGAAAGTAGCAATCATATTGGGACAAAAAATAATTTAATGACAGCATTTATCTTATTAATTAAAAAAATGGATTGATTTCCTAGTGGAACAAATTAATAATGATGTTTATCTCATTAGCTAGTTAGAAACATGAATTGACTTTAAGAAAGAGATTGACAGCATATAAATAAAAAGTATTGTATAATTGTTTGAATTAAGGTTTTTTTTTTCATAACAGTGTTTATTGATTATCAAAAAATAAAAATAAAAAATAATTAAAAATAAAATGACATGGATGATTAAGCTTATATAGCAAAAAATAAAAAACTCTTAATTTAGTAAATAAGATTTAAATTGCCTTGTTTTTGTAACTAAGATTTCAAAGTACCTTAATTTGGGAAGAAAAACTCTTACATCACATATAAACTACTTGAGTTCTTTAGGCTGATGACAAGATGATGAGAGCCCATGAAGTACAAGTGCATGGACAAAAGCATCCACCGTTAAGAACACAAAAACCAATCAGAAAAGGTAGAATGGCATCACAGTCGGCAAAATTACTGCTCATTCATTATCATATAAGCCCATAAAACGCAAGCGTGTGGGCTAAGTTATCATATTAAACATTATAGGGATATGTAAACTGTTAATTGTTGTTCTCATAATTTGTACTGTGGCCTTTAGAAAAAGTTGGTCCCATTCTGAAGGAGTGGAAAGTAAATTTGGTGACATCAAACTCCTGAAGCCTTTCAGACAGCTTGAGATTTCTGGCGCTTCATGCACTGAATAATAGGCTCCTTGACCTGAAAAGGATATAAAAGTTGCCTCGGTAATACAAATGCGGTGGTTTTAATAGGGCATATGCAGGTAAGAGCTACAACCAGTTCATGTTGAGGGAGTTGAAGCATTACCGTGCTTGTCTTTCTGGACCGCTTATCTTGAGAGGATCTGCTGCAGATCACTGTATCTGCCTCACCACAGTAATTTGTGTTTCCATTTGCTCTGGCATTCTCCTTCTCTGGAAAAAAACTCTCTCTTGAAGCAACAGGCTGCACAATTACAAAAATAAATCATCCATAAGTCAGCGGTGGAGCAGAACTACTACTACTGGAATTGATTTATAGATGTGCACAGAGGAGAAATTCCACATCTCAACTGACCTCAGCCCTGCTTGTGGGAGTGTTTCCATGGTCCCTTGTCCTTGAGATAGTCTGGTCACTCCTAGTTGATCCATTTTGATTTATATCTGATCTGATCTTCATGCGTGTAAGATCTGAACCAATGGAGTGGAGAACACCACATGTTGAGCCATCTTTGTAATCATTCCCTGATAATTAAAAAAACAACGTAATGCAGCAGTTCCTAGTATTCAGATAGTCTAAACAAAAGAAATGATACTAAGATTCTAGGAGAAGTTTGAACAGGTGCACCTCTTTTCTGAGATTCTGGATGGTTGGACTTGTTATTTGGTTCATTAGTATCAATGTCCTACTCAACACAAAAGATATAAGAACAGAACTTCGTATCTAAATCAGAAGCAGCAGTTAAATAATGATCACAACAAATCACCATAGATTCATTTCCCAAGGCTCTCCTGACTTCAATAAGCTTTTTCTCAGTTAGACTGGAATGAATGACACGTTTGCCTATAACAACATGGGACAGATGACAAGTACATCAGCAATAATTTGATCCTCAAAATATAAACGAAATAGCTTTTGTTAGGAAACACACCTAGCCTGCGGTTTCCTGTGGCTTCAAGATAGCCATCTCGGGTCATCTTATCAACTAATTTGCGCACAACAGATTGATTTGCTTCTCCATCTAGCTTGTTCTGAAGCTTTGCGATTGTCACATATTTCATTGGAAGCACATGATACAGAGCCTGAAATCAGAGCAATCAGGATACGTAATGTGGATAAGTTCAAGAAAACTTCCATCTAGCATGTTGCTGAATAATCTCGAGTTATAGAAAAGACTCGTCTCTCTCTTTTTATGAGAAAGAGTCTTGTCTTTGAAAATGCAAAATAAAGATGGCAAATCATTTCATAAACACTCTTCACCAATCCTGTTATCGATGAAGTGACAATAAAAATAGATTTGAATCAAATCATCTCAGTTTTCTCATGCAAACAAATGCACAGTTCAATATAACATGTAATGTCGATCAATATAGGAATTGCTTTGATATGGTAAATGCTAATGAGTCCAGGGTCTTCGTTGATCTAAACTAATTAGATACAGAAGAAAGCTTACCTTCATGTACATGAGATCCTCAACCTGAGGAGCTTTTTCACCATCTGTTTCCTCTTTAACCACAGTAAACTCATACTCGAAGGCCTGATATGTCATAAAAGAAAAGAAGAATGAGCCAAACAGGTAGCCAAGTAACAAAGTTTTAACTAGTCAGAAAAGTAGAACCTTTTGCTTGACTTTGCTGTAAGCATCTGTTCCAGTTTTCGATAAAACACCTTCCTTTACAAGCTTGTCCATAATTTCTGAAATTCAATTAGAGAGGAATCAAAACATACAAAAAACTTGATAGAAGAAAATCAAAAAAGGCAGTAACGTCCTTTCCTGTTTTAAATTCAATTGGAAGTTGAGTTACCTTCAATCAAAATCTGCATTAACAAAACAATATAAACTGTTGGGTCTAAAATTGAATTCATTGCTCGTTGCACTAAAATTCTTTTTCCTTCTCTGTTCAAATTCAGAAATTTGAAAACAAGAAGTGGCCCTTACCACCGAGATATCTGGAAAATTAGAGAGAACATCAGTGAGTTCAATGGTATCAAGATGGCAACTGTTAATCCAGTCCTTCACCCTAGCCAATTGCTGCTCGTCTTCCTCTGGGTCCTGTGTATCATCTACACAGCATATAACATTAGTAAAAGACAGCTCTAAGCCAGCGATTGTTCCAAGGGTCATGTAAACCTATGAATTTCTTCTAAGAAGAAGGAGAGAAGGAAAGGAAGTAAGAATGTTAACCAGCTAAGTTAAATATCATTCGCCAATTTTTCATTTTTGACCTTAAAAAGTTCATATTGTGTTCCCAAGTTCCATCACGATTCTGAAGACAGTTATAAGGTCTTACATTTAAATCGAAACTTTTACCTTCATCAACCATGCCATTGTCTTCCTCTGGACGTTGCTTGTCTGGAAAGACAAGTACAGATTACTTGTAGCACCATAATCACCAAATGCAACTAGTAATAGGGTAGCTTGAGATGAACGATAGCCAAAAAGAGTTCATGTAATTACCTACTGGTGCAACTATGTATTGATCTTCTTGTGATTGGTTAACCTGAAATTGATAACAAGTTTGTAACAATTGTATAGATAGCTTAGTCATTTAAGGTCACTTATCGTGAATAATTATCGATTTTCGTCATCTAAGCTGACTGGACCCTCAAGTGGCAATTAAAGAATAAAATTAAAGAGTATTGTAAGTTCACCTCACTGTCAGATTCAGAAGAATCATCCCCTTCTACAGAATCAGCTCCTAAGCTCACTTCATCATCCTCCACATCATCATTTTCATCCTCGCAGGGGTCAAGCACACTCTTTACCTGTACAAATTATCATTCAAACAAAAGTTGAACTCAAATATGACCCATGGCTTGGAATTTTTGGTCATGGGCAAACACGTTAGTTCAGTCCCTTGCCTTGAGAGCTAATACAAAATGCTTGCTGTTGACGTTCCCAACCTCCATTTGCAAAGGATGCTTAATCCACGCTTGATGGGCTTCTTCTTCCGTGCAACCCCTGAAGAATGGAGGCTCATAATCCGCTGGCTGCAAAGGTCAAATACTTTGTATTAAAACATTCTTCCCTTGGGTGTACATTCATAATTTGGGAAGTGAAGAATATTCTGCAAAGCTCTCTTTGAGTCCTTCAACTAATATTCAATGCCATTTGATAATTTATCCAAATACATTTACATGCACCTTACATACATAATACATTATAAACTTGTAGATGCTAAGCTGTTGCCACAAACATGTCTAATCACCAAAGCAACAATCTGAAACCACCAAACTTAAATATGTAGAAGAAAAGCCACAATGTCAAACATCTCCAATTCCATTTCGTTAACTAAGAAATTAGATGAACACATCATGAAGACAAATTCCTGGCTCAAGTGTATAAATGATAAAAACTAAATAAAAATGCTGGTAGAGGAATACCGTCACATCTTCATAGTAGAGGAGCTTCATCAATATAGTGCGCTGAAACAGAAAACAGAGAATCATTTTGCAGTCAATATACTACTACTGTATCCAGACATCATCTAGACACTTGCACATTGAACATGTGACCAGCTGGCAACAACCCGCAACAAAAATAAACTTATATTTGATGTAGGATCTACCTCATCAGGCATTTTATCCAGAGTTCTCATTAACTGAACCAGTGTTCGGACCATTTTACAAGCAGAACTCCTGCATTTTAACAATGTCCCATCATTTTCTTAAGAACTCGTAAGTTTTCACAACAACAGAAAGAGATTCGGAAATAAGTTGGGATATATTTCAATCACCTCATCTGATTGGGAGTAATTTCAGTTGTAGAGTTACACTTGAAAGTTCCTCCCTGCTTCTTATTTCCAGTACGATTGATATTCATTGAAACCTCTTGACTCTCATTATTAGAATAACTGAAGGAAACTGCAATACAAGAGACAGCATTGAAATTTCCCCGAGACCATGTTAAAGTAAATATCAAACCAAAAGACAGTCAAAAAAACCATCAACGTTTTGTTTTTGCTGCATATTATAGTCCTATTCAAAATTTTCCACATGTACAGTATCATAAATTAGAAAAACTCACTTACATGTGTACTCCTCGATCATCGGGCCCTCTATAGTCTCGCACACACAGAACAAAAGTGTCTTGAGGTATTTTTTCTGCAATGCATCATAGACACCTATAAAACAGGAGAAGGACAATACAGTCAGAAAAACGATTTACAAGATAAAAAACAACTCAATCGAAAAAACAGCAAATAATTTAAAGATCTAAAAACAGCATGCCTTTCTCCATCCAATCAATCAGTCTACGAGACTCTGCATCCATAGGCATCAACTTCTTGATCTTCATCTCTGCTTAGTGTTTCAAATGTCAAAGAAATTCGCCAATGAATATTTCATATTTTAAAGCGAAATTAGAAAAAAAAATCTGCGCAGAAGAAGAAGAAGATTACCTAACGCAGGAACAGACTTATCATTGAAATACTTCTCTGGAAACAAGCCTCTTATGTAACTGATATTGAATATAGCAATACGGAGCAGGTTCCTTGTCTATTCCACAACAAATAAAGACGCGAAACCATCAATTAACACTAGATGAACTTGTCATTAACAAAAATAAATAACATAAAGGTATAGGAGTGATCTCGCAGCTAATGATCATCAATTACTCAACGCATGATCAGAAAATTGTGAGATCTCATAATGATTTTCGTCTTTAAACCAAAATCGAGCTCAGAGTTCCATTTACGGCTCAAATTTGAGAAACATAGAGCGTTTTCTAACCAGAACTACTTGATCCATGAGAAATTTTATATAGAATAAATTGGAAAAGAGATTTTTCAAATTTTATCCAAACAGAAACTGCAAACACAGTATTTAATCGAAGATAAACAAAAAAAATCGTACTTCGAAAATGCTAAATCACATGAAATTTAGCATAATAAAACTACAAACAAACACACTCTACTACAAAAATAGATATAAAAACAACTTTTAAGAGCTCAAAAAAGTGATAATCGGATTGTGGATCGTTGAGATATGTATACCAGAAGAAGCGAGTCCTGCTCGGTGATCTCAGCTTGTTTCACTTTCTGTGCAACAACCTGACCGAACACGAAACGGAGATATAAATCACTCTCACATTTAAGAACAAAACGAGCGACAAAGTGAAATAGAGAAACAAAATTCTCGAAAATGAAAGAAATGAAACGGAGATTTTAGATTTTTTTTCCTCTTTGCTCACCATGGTTGTTGAGTTTCTGGAGAAAAGAGCTAGAGAGAGGTCCAAAGGCGGTTAGTTTTTGAAATTTGAAACGAAGCGAAGAAAATGGGAGACCGTGGCGCCATAGGGGAGATTTTACGGGTATATAAAGACCGGTATGCAATTTAACCGCGGTTGGGTATTTACTACCCGTGGTTGATTTGGTGGCATTTCTCATGCATACCAATGGCGCGGAAGGAAAGATATTCTTTGGTTAATTTGTTGAAAATATAGGGGTAATCTTGTGAGATGGGTTGTCACTTGGCCGTTTAAAACTGGTTATGCAAAAAGATTTTTTTGTTTTGTTTTGGCAAAAAGGAAAAGTAGTTAGCAAGAAATGAAACGGAATCCATTTAACAAAACTGGCTATGAAATGGACACCAGCTATAACGGCGAGTGCTATGTTGATGGTGCAAGAAAGCAATTTAGCATGCTATCTAGTCTAGGCTTGCATGCATACGGAATCCATTTAACAAAACCTTTTTTTTTTTTTTGGTCAAAATTAAAACTTAATGAAAAACTCATTCGATAAAAAAAAATTAAAAACATGGGTTCTTAACAATTGAAAATTTTTGAATTTAACTATAATTTTACTCAGACAGTAGATGGAGTTATTTATTGAAAAGTACTAAAACACTGGGTGGATGATCAAAGTAGAATTTTTCAAATCATAAAATTTAAATAAACAAGCTCATGAATCATACAAAGATCTTTAATGACTTGTTTGAATGTTGTTTCTATGTTTAAAAACTAATAGAGCACCATCACTAACCAGCTAAATGGATCAAACCTTCTATTAACTTTAATTTATTTAAAAATCACTTTTAAAATTTTAAATTATGAGTTTAACCTCTTTTAAACTTTATTTTTTAAAAAAATTAATCTGTTATTTATTTATTTTTTATAAAAAACTAATGGTCATATAAATAGTTTCATGATAAAAATCATTCATTAAGAATTATCTAGAGTTCTTAAAAAAAAAAAAACTAGAATCATTCCGAGTTGTTTTTTATTTTCTACTTTTTAATATATATATATATATATCATTCTTAAGAGTTTTTTTTATTTAAACTCTCCTTTCAATAAAATAAAATATTTTTTGCAATCAAAATGCCAGAAACACTACAGCATAATTTTAATTTATTTATAAATTATGAGTCGGAAAAAAATTGAAAACATGCTGCGACATGTTATATAAATCATTCTCGAAACCCAACGAATGGATTTTATCCACGATTAAAATTAATTTTTTATTTTTACCAAAAATCATGAAGTTTGAAAACTTCTGCAGCGTACCTCTCTACGTGTGTTGCTTCATCATGCGCTATTCATATCAAATCCAGTTAATTTTACCTTAATTCATAATTAACACATACTTTAGGCGTTTCTCTCCTTTCTTTCTGTTTTTTTCTTTCTTGATTCTCTTTCTAAGAAAAAAAAACCATAACCATGGCCGATGATTTTTTCACCGGCAGCAGCCTTTTTCATCTTTCTAATTCTTCTTTCTTTCTTTTTTTTTCTTTTTCCTTTTACTAGGTTAAAAAAAACAAAAAACTACTACGGAAAAAAAAATGATGAATGATGGAGGGTTTGTGTTGACAACACTTCAAAAACTTGTTAAAGAAAAAGACACGTGGTTCATCTTTACAGAGTGTTTTAAAAACTCCAAAATAGTCACATATCTTGACATCCACCATTTGAAATGAATTTAATGGTAATTTGTGCCTTTAATATAAGGGTCAAAAGGTCCATAATGTTCTTCTATATTTTAGTTACGTTAATCATGTCCCTTTATTATTTTTTCAACAATCATATCCTTTTATTCTTAATTTTATCTTTTTAATCAAAATTTTTGGTAAGCTGTATTAATTTTCAATGACATACTCACGGAATGTTGACATGTTACATTTAAAAAAATTATGAAAAAAAATTAAAAATCATAAAAAAATCTGAAAAAATAAAAAAAAATCTAAAATGCTTTTTTTTTCTCTATTTTTATGTATAGAAATAAATAATTGATTTAATCTCTCAATTTTTTTATTTTTTTATTCATTTATTATTATTATTATATATTTTTTTTTGCTCTCTCAAATTCAAACAAAAAAAAAAGAAAGAAAATTTTTTATATATAAGAAAGAACAAAAGCAATTTTTTTCAGACATTTATTATGAAATTTATTTCAAATCCAAACTCTGAAAAAAAAAATGAAAATTTTTTCACAACATAAGAATAAAAGAAAAACACGAGATAAAAAGAAGGACATTTTAGGATTTTTTTTTACGAAATTTGAGAGAAAGAAAAAAATTGAACAATAAAATTAATTATTTATTTCTATACCAAAAGGTAGAAAAAAATCGAGGCATTTTGGAATTCTTTTTTCAGATTTTTTTTTGAAAATGTCACATGTCGATATCTTGTGAGTCTCGTCATCGAAAATTGTTGCGGTTATTGAAAAAGTTGATTGGAGGGATGAAATCAAGACGCAAATTAAGAATATTAGGATACGACTATTGAAAAATTTAATAAAGAAGCACGATTAAGACAAATAAAATAGTAAAGGGACATCCAAGACCTTTAGCTCTTTAATTTAATTATCAAGAGTTATGGCACGTTAAAGTCTATACTATTGATTTGGTCAATTTTAACCTTGAACCATCATTTTTTGAATAGATGTTATCCTTTCGTTTGATTTGATTATTATCATGGACCAAAAACCCTTTTAAGAAAAAATTTCAATTTTTGATATTTTGAACTTAAAAATTTCAAATATGCTAATCTGCGCTTTAAAACAATTTTAAATTTTTTTAAGGTCAATAAACAATTTTCACTTTTTCTTAAACATTAAATATTAATAAAATTGAAAATAATAGAAAATAACTTGGAATTATTCCAAGTTTTACCAGAAGCCTAAAAAAGTCATATAATTTAGTTATTTAGTCTTAATATTATTCTTAAAATGATTGCATGGTCAGATGCAGAACACGTAACCAATCTTTTTAATTTTGAAAATACAATATGTAAATGTTTTGAAAACTATACTAAAATTACCTATATAAATTCATATTACCTCATTAGAGCTTTCAAAAAATTATGAGATAATTCCAACTTATTTTCTATTTTTATAATTTATTGAATTTTTATTTTTCAGAAAATAAAAATAGAAAAATACTTCCAAATTCAAAAAAAAAAAATGATATTATTTGTGAAAGTGGACTTTAGCTTCTATGAAAAATTTCGAACAAAATGCCAAAGTTTGTTTTTTTTTAAAAAAAGAATTTGTGGTCAATATTAACTATAAAATCAAACGGAGAGATAATATTTACATAATATAATAATTTGATCTCAAAATTAACTAAATTAATAATGTAGTTCTCAATTTGACCCTAATAGTTTTGGGGCAAAAAAATTGGGTTAAACCATATGAGATGCAGGAGCATGTGAGAAAAAACATTTAACAAGTGGTGACGTGGCATTAAAATAATGGAGGGATTTTTGTTAACAACTTGAGATGGCATCTAAAAATTGACAAGAAGCTTTGAAATGCAACTCTTATATATATATATATATATATATACACACACATTAAAGCTCTGGAGATGATCAAGAGCAATCACAAGAGTTAATTAAGGAGAATTAATGAAATCAACCAACATTTATGACTCAATCAAAAATAGCAAAAAAAAAAAAATCAACGTATGCCAAAGGAATTGAAAAAACTACATTTTGGCATATATGGTACAATATTTTGTCCTTTTTATTTTCCTATATCAAATAAAATTATTCTAGTTTTCCATGAGAAAATGACCTCGAAATCTTCTCCATAATGTCACATCCCATTGAGTGTGTTATAGATCAAGCCGAATGTCCTCGTGATACCTATCCTCCTCATGAATATCATACCGTGACTAAGTCTTGTTGGTTAAGAATGGACGAGTAGATGTCAACATTATCTCTGTCATGCAAGATTGTTTGTCCTAGTTTATTCCCTTAAAAATAGGGTTTTGGATGTTGGTATAATTTTCTTGATTTGTTTTTCCATTATTATTAAGCCTATATAAAAGTAGTACTTGAGAAAATAAAGGATTATTTAGATATTCATATTAATTGCTTTTGTAATATATTTATTTTTTATTCTACTTTGCCTCTTCAAAATAGCTCATGGGAAAGAACGCGAGGTCGAGGTGTAGGTCGTGTTGACGATCAAGACTATAACATCTTGATATCGAGCTCGGCATGCCTAAAGAACAAATCGACCAACGTTTTCTTCGACTTAAGCATCGGATTGAGAGCACGAGCGGACGGATGATGAAAATGCTTCAACATTTCAATCTAGATAGGAATCATATGCCTCCTCGTCCCGTTAGGTTCGTAGAAATTTCAATGGGGAGGGATCAAGTGGAGGTATCGCTCCCTAGTTGGTTAAATTGGATTTTCCTTGGTATAATGGCATGGAGGACCTAACCATTTGGATTAGTCGGATAGAACAATTTTTTGATTTTCAGAACAAGTCATCGAAAAACGAGGTTAGGTTAACAATGTTCCAACTAGAAGGGGATGCTCAATTACCGACACGACAACGAAAGAGCTTAAATCTAGGTTTTACATGGCCAGTAATGAAAGATGGATCACCACTAGCAATCATCACTTTCATGGACAAAGCTGATTCAATCAAAATTTCAGTAACCCTCGCCACCCGTTCATGTAGGAAGTTATGGGTTGACCCCAAATCTATGAGGACAATGAGGATGACCCCAATTACCTTAGCCTGCACTCGCATTGTTTGAGGAGTAACAACTCGATGAGTGAGTGGAGAGAGATTTTTCATGGTTCTAGTTCCCAAGTGCTACTTTCCCCTAGGTGAAGCTCTTGGTCTCCTTCGACCATCTTTTCCATCTCAACGAAAAAGAGCTTTTAACACTTATAAGGCTGTTGTGTAAGGTTCATCATAGTGGAAACAAAAACCTTATCGACATCGTTGCTATAGCTCCATTGGTGTGAAACGAGAGATGGCAGGTGAGGGATTTGATGAAGATTGAGGAAATAAAAAAGCCCCTGTCTTGTTTTATATTGGCAGTTCTCTTCTCACGAGTTCATTAGCCCTACGTCTAATTAGGCCGGACCGTGGGTCTTAGGCTTTAAAATATCTTCCTTCAAACACTCTAGCCAACTTAATGGCTTCATTTAAAGAGGAAGGCCTTTGGGCCTATACATTAGCTCTAATCTGCTCCTTCAGGCCATCGATGAACGCCCTCACTTCTTGTTCATTTGATAATGCTCCGGTTGTAACTAGTAATTGGTCAAATTGTGTTTGATATTCATAAATGGTTCTAGTATGTTTGAGTTTGTAAAGATCGGAAAATGAATTCTCACCTCCTCATCGGGCACATGACTAGCAAATTCCACCGAAGGAGGGCGGTTAATTGATCGGTGTTCGACCATTCTACTATCCCTATTTTCACAAACAAGAAAATAAGATGTTGGTCTCTAAGACGTTGGCACAAAGAATTATTCGTCCAAGTAATAGTCCTTTCTCTTCCTCGATGTTGGTAGTAAAAAAAGTGACGGCTCGTGGCGATTTTATATGGATTATCGAGCCTTCAATCGGCTCATGGTAAAGGATAAGTTTCATATTCCCGTCGATGAAGAGCTACAAGATGAATTAAAAGAGGCAACATGATTTACCAAATTGGACCTACATTTTGGGTACCATTAGATACGAATGCATCTCGAGGATATAACTAATACTGCTTTTTGTACACATCACAACTATCACGATTCTTTGGTAATCCCTTTCGGACTTTCTAATGCTTCATCTACTTTTCAATCTTTTATGAATGCTATTTTTGAACCATATTTGTGCAAGTTTATCTTGGTATTTTTTTATGACATTTTGATATACGACAAGAATAAAATAGAACACTTGTACCATGTCAAAACTATTTTCTCAATCTTACGGGTTAATAAAATTATTGTTAAAAAAGAGAAATGCCAATTTGCTCAATGACATCTAGGGCACATTATAACTACTTAAGGGGTTATGGTTGATCCAACAAAGATTAAGGCTATGAAAAATTGACCTACACCACAAAATGTCAAAGAGCTAAAAGGATTTTTAGGGCTAATTTGGTATTATAGGAGGTTCATTACTAGATATGAAGTGATGGCACGACCCCTAACTAGCTTCTTAAAGAAGAATGCTTTTACTTGGAATTAAGAGGCAAATTAGGCCTTCCAACATCTCAAAAAAGCAATGACTCGAACACCCATTTTGGCATTTCTTGATTTTTCACTGCTATTTATGGTCAAATATGATTCCTTTGGAAAGAGTATCAAAGTTATACTTATGCAAAACCAACAACCCATAGCTCTATTTTAATGCTTATCTCAAAGGAAAAAATTCTCTCTTTCTACATATGAGAAGGAGTCGATGGCCTTAGTGTTGGCGATACAGAGGTAGAGACCATATCTTTTGGGAGGACACTTTACTATCAAAACTAATTAGTAGAGTCTCAAATACCTTATGGAGCAAAGGATTGCCACCGAAGCACAACAACGGTGACTCATTAAGCTATTGGGTTATGACTATTTAATTAAGTATAAGCAAGGACATCCCGGATGCAGCAGCTAATGCTCTATCTAGGAAACGACAAGGTGAATTACATGTTTTACCATCACCTGTTCCTCAATGGCTTAATCCCATTATGGTAGAAAATGGTACGTACCTAAAGCTTTAACACTAGCATCGGTTAGTGCAACAAGATAAAGCAATCTGGTTTTAGCAAGTAAAATAAAGAATTCTCATCTTGAAAGATAGAATCTACCTTTTATATGACTCTTGTTTGATTCCAGTCTTATTATAGAAGATCCATGAAAGTAGTCATAAAGGCTATCATAAAACATTATATAGGTTAAAAGTCATGTTTTACCGGAAGAAAATGAAAGAGAGGCTTTGATAGTTCATTAAGAATGTGATGTCCATCAACAACATAAGTCTAAGCCATAAAAACCTACAAGCTTGTTACAACCCTTACCAATCCCCTCACAAGTATGGGTAGATATTTATATGGATTTCATTGACGGGCTTCCATCCTCCAAGGAGAAAATAGCTATGTTTGTAGTGGTGGATAGACTTTCTAAATTCGCACATTTCATCCTTCTCTCTTACCCGTATATGGCACCTAACATTGCTCGGATTTTCTTTGACAACATCTTAAAGCTCCATAGCATGCCACGATCAATTATGTGTGACAAAGATCCTACCTTTACCAACGCATTCTAGAAAGAGTTGTTCAACCTTCAAGGTACATGTTTTAACTTTAGATTTGTTTACCACCCACAAACAGACAATCAAATCAAAGTGGTCAATCATACGATTGAGATGTACCTTTGTTGTTTCACGAGCTCTAAACCCAAGGAGTGAACTAAGTGGATCGTCCGGATCGAGTATTGCTGCAATACCAGCCTTTATTCTTCCACTAGGCTTACCTCCTTTGAAGTCCTCTGTGCCGCCCTCCTCCTATTCTTCTCTCTTATGTACTAGGAATGAACTAAGTGGAAGTGGATCGTCCGGATCGAGTATTGCTCGTAACACCGACCTTTATTCTTCCACTCGGTTTACCTCCTTTGAAGTCCTCCGTGGCCACCCTCCTCCTATTCTTCTCTCTTATGTACTAGGTATTACTAAGGTTCAAGCTATGGAGGAATCCTTACTTTAACAAAACGAGGCTCTTAAGAAACTCCAGAAATGTTTATTGAGAGCTTAGAATAGGATGAAGTAGGTATATGACCAAAACATGGTGGATTGAGAATTGACATAAGGTGATTGGGTCTATATAAGGCTTCGACCATATCGACAAAGCACTATTGCTACTAGGACTTCTCAAAGCTGGCTACTTACTTTTTTGAGCCTTTATTGGTGATTGATAAAATTGGGTAAGTTGCATATAAATTGGACTTGCCGATTAACGATAAAGTCCATCCTATTTTCCATGTCTCAATTTTAAAGAGAGGCGTGGGGAACCCTTTCCATGTTTATGTCTAGCTACCGAAACCCTTCAATGATAATGTTACTCCTATAAAAGTTCCAACGACCATCCTTGATGTTCATGGTCGGGGAAGAAGATTGGAATATTTGGTATAGTGGTAAGGAACCGCAAAATCGGATGCCACTTGGATGACTCGTACCAATTTCCTTTAAGACTTCCTAAATTTTCCCCCTCCTGTCGACAAAAAGAGTTTTTATAGAGGGAGTCATTACGGACCAAGCTAGATGCCCTCATGCCGGTTATCCTCCTCATGAATATCATCATGTGACTAAGTCTTATTGGTTAATAATGGACAATAATTGTCAATATTATATTTTTCATGCAAGATTTTTTTCTTAGTTTATTCCCTTAAGAATAGGATTTCGAGTTGTTAGTATAATTTTCTTGACTTGTTTTTCCATTGTTATTAAGCTTATATAAAGGCAATACTTAAGAAAATAAAGGATTATTCAAATATTTATATTGATTGCTTTTGTAATAAATTTTTTTTATTCTACTTTGCCTTTTCAAAATAACTCATGGGAGGCAAAGAACGCGAGATCGAGTGTAAGTCCCGTTGACGATCGTGACTATAACAAGGTGGCAATTGCCATCAAATGCAACTCTCTCTCTCTCTCTCTCTCTCTCTCTCTCTCTCTCTCTCTCTATATATATATATATATATATATATATATATATATATATATATATATATATATATATATATATATATATATATATATATATATATAATCGGAGATGATTATGAGAAATCGAAGAGTTAATCAAGGAGAATTATTGAAATTAACCAATATTTATGACTCTATAAAAAATAGCAATAAAAAATCAACAATGCCTAAGGAATTGAAAGAACTATCATTTTTGTATATATGATACGATATTTTATTTTTTTATTTTCCTGTATCAAATAAAATTATTCTAGTTTTCAATAAGAAAATGGCCTCGAAATCTTCTTCTTAAGGTTGCCTCCCATTGAGTGGCAATTGCCATAGACGGATTTACCAATTTTCCTATAGAGTCTATGCGAATACAAGTGAACCCACATATCACATGGAGAAAACTTTTTTTCTTGTTCTTTTTTATTTTTAATAGTACCACCTAAAATCAACTCGCTGATTCAAAATCTAACAAGTATGAATAGAAATTTTAAAGTCTATATAGTGAAAGTTCAGATTATACTTTGAAGCATTAATTGACCCATCAAAACTCCATGATGAGTTTTTTTTTTAAAAAACAAGGTACTTCTAAATCTTATTTACAAAAATAAGATTTTTTTTTATCAAACAGGGATAATACCTCGACAATTTATTAATAAATAAGTGGAAGTAAACAAGGGGCAACAAACCAATTTGGCCCAAAACATTGGAAGGACAAGGAAGCTTAACCCCTGTAAATCTTTAGAACTCTCCCGAAGATACAAGGATAATGATACATTACATACCTATGCTTTATACTCTCAAAAGGTTAAAACAACAAATATAAATTCCTAATAATTGCTCGAGCTTTAGTAGACCTACAAGTATACAAATTTCCCTACCTAAATTCATGTTGGCTGAAAGTTAAGATTGTATTAATCTTATTTATCAAAATAAAGTAGTTTTCGCCATGTAAATCAAATGATATTTGTTTCTTAAATTTTATCTAATGTTTATTCTAGTTTTCGGTATTTGATTTTATCTAATAATCATAACTAATAAAACAAGTGTATTGTAAATGATATTTGTTTCTAAAATTTTATAAAATTATTAATGAATTTAGCATTAAAAAAAACTAACATGTGTAAAATTTTCCTAATAACTGCTTAGAGCTTTAGTAGACCTATAAGTACACAAATTTCCCTACCTAAATTCATGCCGACTGAAAGTTAAGATTGTGTTAATCTTATTTGTACAAAAAAAAAGATAGTTTTCACCACGTGAATCAAATGATATTTGTTTCTAAAATTTTATCTAATACTTATTCTAGTTTTCGGTATTTGATTTTATCTAATAATCATAACTAATAAAACAAGTGTATTGCAAATGATATTTGTTTCTAAAATTTTATAAAATTATTAATAAATTTAGCATTAAAAAACACTAACACATGTAAAATTTCTCTAAGAACCGCTCGAAGCTCTAAGTAGACCTACAAGTACACAAATTTCCCTACCTAAATTCATGTCGGCTGAAAGTTAAGATTGTGTTAATCTTATTTGTCAAAAAAGTAGTTTTTGCCACGTGAATCAAATGATATTTGTTTCTAAAATTTTATCTTATACTTATTCTAGTTTTCGGTATTTGATTTTATCTAATAATCATAACTAATAAAACAAGTGTATTGCAAATGATATTTGTTTCTAAAATTTTATAAAATTATTAATGAATTTAGCATTAAAAAAACTAACACATGTAGAATTTTCCTAAGAACTCGCTCAAAGCTCTAGTAGACCTATAAGTACACAAATTTCCCTACCTAAATTCATGCCGACTGAAAGTTAAGATTGTGTTAATCTTATTTGTCAAAAAAGTAGTTTTTGCCACGTGAATCACATGATATTTGTTTCTAAAATTTTATCTAATACTTATTCTAGTTTTCGGTATTTGATTTTATCTAATAATCATAACTAATAAAATAAGTGTATTGCAAATGATATTTATTTCTAAAATTTTGTAAAATTATTAATGAATTTAGCATTAAAAAAAACTAACACGTGTAGAATTTTCCTAAGAACTCGCTTAAAGCTCTAATAGACCCACAAGTACACAAATTTCCCTACCTAAATTCATGTCGGCTAAATGTTTAGATTGTGTTAATCTTATTTATCAAAAAAAGTAGTTTTTGTCACGTGAATCAAATGATATTTGCTTCTAAAATTTTATCTAATATTTATTCTAGTTTTCAGTATTTGATTTTATCTAATAATCATAACTAATAAAAAAATTGTATTACAAATGATATTTATTTCTAAAATTTTATAAAATTATTAATGAATTTATCATTAAAAAAAAAAACTAACACATGTAGAATTTCCCTAAGAACTGCTCGAGCTCTAAGTAGACTTACAAGTACACAAATTGCCTTACCTAAATTCATGCCGATTGAAAGTTAAGATTGTGTTAATCTTATTCGTCAAAAAAAGTAGTTTTCACCACGTGAATCAAATGATATTTGTTTCTAAAATTTTATCTAATACTTATTCTAGTTTTCGGTATTTGATTTTATCTAATAATCATAACTAATAAAACAAGTGTATTACAAATGATATTTGTTTCTAAAATTTTATAAAATTATTAATGAATTTAGCATTAAAAAAATAACACATGTAGAATTTTTCTAAGAACTCGCTCAAAACTCTAGTAGACCTACAAGTACACAAATTTCTCTACCTAAATTCATGCCGGCTAATAGTTAAGATTGTGTTAATCTTATTTGTCAAAAAACATAGTTTTCGCCACGTGAATCAAATGATATTTGTTTCTAAAATTTTATCTAATACTTAATCTAGTTTTTAGTATTTGATTTTATCTAATAATCATAACTAATAAAACAAGTGTATTACAAATGATATTTGTTTCTAAAAATTTGTAAAATTATTAATGAATTTAGCATATAAAAAAAACTAACACATGTAAAATTTCCCTAGGAACTACTCAAAGCTCTAGTAGACTCGCAAGTACACAAATTTCTCTACCTAAATTCATGCCGATTGAAAGTTAAGATTGTGTTAATCTTATTTGTCAAAAAAAGTAGTTTTCACCACGTGAATCAAATGATATTTGTTTCTAAAATTTTATCCAATACTTATTCTAGTTTTCGGTATTTGATTTTATCTAATAATCATAACTAACAAAACAAATGTATTGCAAATGATATTTATTTCTAAAATTTTATAAAATTATTAATGAATTTAGCATTAAAAAAAACTAACACGTGTAGAATTTCCCTAAGAACTGCTAGAGCTCTAATAGACCTACAAGTATATAAATGTTCCTACCTAAATTCATACCGACTGAAAGTTAAGATTGTGTTAATCTTATTTGTCAAAAAACGTAGTTTTCACCACGTGAATCAAATGATATTTGTTTCTAAAATTTTATCTAATATTTATTCTAGTTTTCGGTATTTGATTTTATCTAATAATCATAACTAATAATACAAGTGTATTGCAAATGATATTTATTTCTAAAATTTTATAAAATTATTAATGAATTTATCATTAAAAAAAACTAACACGTGTAGAATTTCCTTAAGAACTGCTCATAGCTCTAAGTAGACCTACAAGTACACAAATTTCCCTACCTAAATTCATGTCGACTGAAAGTTAAGATTGTGTTAATCTTATTTGTCAAAAAAAGTAGTTTTCACCGCGTGAATCAAATGATATTTGTTTCTAAAATTTTATCTAATACTTATTCTAGTTTTCAGTATTTGATTTTATCTAATAATCATAACTAATAATACAAGTGTATTGCAAATGATATTTGTTTCTAAAATTTTATAAAATTATTAATGAATTTAGCATTAAAAAAAACTAACACGTGTAGAATTTTCCTAAGAATTGCTCAGAGCTCTAGTAGACCTACAAGTACACAAATTTCCCTACCTAAATTCATGCCGGCTGAAAGTTAAGATTGTGTTAATCGTATTTGTCAAAAAACGTAGTTTTTGTCACATGAATCAAATGATATTTGTTTCTAAAATTTTATCTAATACTTATTCTCGTTTCTATTATTTGATTTTATCCGATAATCATAACTAATAAAACAAGTGTATTGCAAATAATATTTATTTCTAAAATTTTGTAAAATTATTAATGAATTTAGCATAAAAAAAACTAACACATGTAGAATTTTCGTAAGAAGTGCTTAGAGCTCTAGTAGATCTACAAGTACACAAATTTCCCTACAAAAAATTCATGCCGACTGAAAGTTAAGATTTTGTTAATCTTATTTGTCAAATAAAGTAGTTTTTGCCACGTGAATCAAATGATATTTGTTTCTAAAATTTTATCTAATACTTATTCTAGTTTTCATTATTTGATTTTATCCGATAATCATAAATAATAAAACAAGTGTATTACAAATGAAATTTATTTCTAAAATTTTATAAAATTATGAATGAATTTGACATTAAAAAAAAAAACTAACACATATAGGTAATTGGATCTACATAGCAAAAACTACCTTGTTTTGACAAATAAGATTAAAACAACCATATTTTTGTAAATAAGATTTAGAAATACCCTGTTTTGAAAAAAAAAAAAAAAAAACCTCATAATCATGCACATGTCCAATGTTTATTACCAAAAGCAAATTGACAAAATGGAATCGTTGTTTAAAAATAAAAAATCACTAATCTTCACACTGATATTATTTTGGGAAGATTTGATTTATAAAGAAGGAAATTCAATCCTTTGAGATTAATTTGCTTTATTTTTTAAAAGATAGTCAAGCGAGCTTCACTTCACTTCATATACATATATTACACACAAACTCGAGCGTGCACGAGGATATTTGATCACATACTAATACCACCACTTTTAATTGTCATGGCATCCAAGACCTTTTATTTCATTACATTTACTTCTCTCCACCTCCTCCCTTATCTATTCCATTCAATCTCAGCCCACCCAACTGTCCAAGAGCAATCACCATTTCAGTTTATCAAGCATGTTCAAGGATGCAAGAAAGGTGACAACATGAAAGGCATCCATAGCCTCAAAAAACACCTCCATCGTTTTGGATACTTAGAACATAAACATGCTATTAATAGTACTAAAGATACCGGTGATCATTTTGACGAACACGTTGAGATTGCCATCAAAACCTACCAGATCAATTTCAATTTAAAGCCCACCGGAGTCTTAGATCCTGAAACAGTAGCACAGATGATCATGCCGCGATGCGGCGTGCCGGATATCATAGATGGTAAAACCAGAATGAAAGCTGCAGGTACGTACAATATTAAGTACGCATTCTTTAATGGATCGCCTAAGTGGCCATTATTTAAGAAAGTACTTAATTGGGGACTTCGACCCGGTATCCGGAGAGATGTCATTAGCCCCCTTGTAGAATTTGCTTTTCTGTCATGGAGTGGTGTGACACCTTTTGCGTATAATTTCGTCGATGAAAACCTTACTGTTGCGGATATCAAAATTGGTTTTACTAGTCGGAGTGCGGGAGATCAAATTTTAGATGGGCCTGGAGGTCAATTGGCATATGCAAATCCACCAACAGCTGGAACTTTTTATTATGATTCTGATGAAAAATGGTCCGATGGTCCAGTCCCGGGAGCCTATGACATGGGGTCAGTTGGATTGCATGAATTGGGACATGTTCTGGGGCTTGCCCATTCCTCCGTTGAGAATGCTGCAATGTGGCCATCTCTCAAATCCGGCATTACCAAGGGTTTGGCAGCTGATGATATCCAAGGAATGAAAACTTTATATGGCAGTTAAATGATTAACAATTTTAGCCAATGGAAAAATCAATATGGATCTCAGTGTGTGTTCTATTAAACACATCCAATATATAAATTATATTAATGTATTTATAAAAAAAATCACATTCTAAATTTTTGTTCAAAAATCCTTATATAAAGAAAAAAAAACATATATTTTTTAACAAATAAAATCATATAAAAAATTAATTGAATGTTTCTATAAAAAATGACAAATCGAAGAAATCATTTTAATTTTTAAAAGAAAAAAATCAGAAATTACAAATTTAAGAAATCATATTTCTTCCTCGTAGGCTGTGTTAAAAGAAATATATATTTTTAATAAATTTTGCACAAAATTAATAATAAAAATAATTGCTAAAAAAAAAAACAAAGCCAGGCCTTGGCATTGGGCCTCTGAGCGCTGAGGCCCAAGTCACAGGCCTGCAAAAAGGCCGGGTTGGCCTGGCCCCTCCCCTCCTCCCCCACCACAACCACCACCAAACCCCCCACCCCACCCCCCCCCCCAACATCCTGTGTTTGCATGCGAGAGACTGCTTTGGTCCTCTCTCGAAGTGATTGTTGATGAATCTCAGGAGCTCTTGTTTGCTTTAATTATGAAGATGCAGACGACGCCATCAATACAAATTCTGATTCAATCTCAAAGACCCATAACTTTGAACAACATGAAATTGGTAAATCAGGTTGTGACGAGCGCAAGTTGGCTGTCCCAACGGTACAAAAATCATGTGAGGATGCAAATTGCTCACCTCTGGTAGCTAGTAAACTAGCTTATTTTTTTGGATTCAATGGTACAAGACGATGAGGCTGTAGATTTGCACTTCTCACAGAAAAATGGAATTGCTCTGCTTGAGAGTGGTAACGGCATGAAGTTTATGATGTATGGTTCTGAGATTAATGGTGACATTATAAGCAGTAGTTATGCTATAAGTAATTACAAAGTTGATGGAGGGATAGGACTGATATAGAGTTTGTAAGAGAGAACTTGGTGAAGGTTATGCCTACAGATGGGCCACCTTAGCTGGAGAAGAGTATTATTAATTTACCAAACTAGAGGAGATTAATAACTCTAAAGACCAAGGCATGGAGATTAGCTACTTCCTGGTAGGTGATAGGAAAAATTGGGTTTAGAAGAATGACAGAACTGGTAGTGGTTGGGTACCAGGTGTTCGATCGAATGCCGAAGAGAAAAGTGATGGTTACTTAGCCTTCTTCGATGTCAAAGTTAAGAGAGCCACCAACCTTGCAGATGGTAATGAGTAGCTATGACATTTTTACTTTGGGTTCTTTTTTTGATAATAAAGCATTTATTGTTATGGATGAGATGAAATAAAAAACATCTGGTTTTGCACAGTTGATATTGTCATGTTTCAATGTTATGTCCTGAAAGAACATTTGGGGCTGTTTAAGTTGCACTACTAGCTACTTTAAAGATTGGATGCCCTGGCACTATTTTTTATAAACTCATGCTAACGCATGGAAGTGGACTAAAACTAGAATTGTACTTGCAGAACTATGATGGCAGTGTGTTTAAAAAGGGATGCCTTGTCCAAGTTCTTGGTGGAGCCCTATAAAAGCTCAGAAGTGTGGTCAAAGCTTTCAAAAGATTCAGAGGAGAATCTAACGCCAATGACTGGTATTCACTTCCTTTTTCTGTTATTAATGAGAATGGAAGTTCCATAGTCCTCGTACGAATTGTCATGCTACTGTCATATTTAATTCGAATGCAACTTGCATGATTATACTGGCTGGAATATATAACTTGCCTTGAACGAGTTTAAATTTTGGAAATTTTGTCATCAGGAAGAAAAAGGTGAGAAAAAGGTGGTACGAGAAACTTTTGTTCTGGCTTCTATTTCGTTTTAAGAAAACCTTGTGCACCTTCCAAGAATTATTCTTCCCCTACAATTCAAATGGGTCAAATTCTGCTATTTTATAAAATATTTTTTAATTCTTACTCCCGCCAATCCATTTATTTTCCTCCCTCAATCTTGACTTTCCGTTTCCTTTCATTTTTCTCTTCCCTACAAATACTGCTACTTTTTACCAAGTACTGGTTCTTGATTCCATTGCCAAGATCCTAGCATATTTTCCTTGTTGGCCCGCCTTCTCCACTACCAATTTATCATTGTATCTTAATGGCAATAAAATCTGTGTTGGCCACATTTAATGCTATATTTCTTAGTCTTTCTATTGGGCATACATTCTTTCCAAAACCAACTTTGACCTTTCTAGGTCAACTCAATTTTGACGACGTAGTGCAGTGGATCTTCTATAAAAAATGATTGAGCCTACGGAATTCAATACACAGCTTGAAGTCTAGAATGGTTCAACAGTGTATGAATGTTGTCGTGAGACGAGTGAAGCTATTGTACAAACTGAAGAATTTGATACTTTTGTCCTCTTGTGTGATTGTGATGGAATTTCACCAGTGGAGATTGTATATTTGTCACTCGGGCAAAGCGTTGTCTGTTACAGTAGTTGAACAAGGTAGTATAGGTGGTCTTTTTATGAGCACTGAGGCTGTAATTGAGACTAAACAAGATATGGGTCTTTCCATTTGCCAAATGGTTCGTCTTGACAGCTTCACTTACCGCTTTAGAGTGTTGAAAATGGGTGATTTTTCTGCTGGTTCACACTCTACAGAAATTGAGAATTTGAGATTACTGATGGGACTAATGGACCTCCTTGGATGAGAGTTATTGTTGATTTCATGAAGGATAAGAAGGTTGTGCTCCACCTGGACATACGCAGGTTATTGGTGGTTTTTGCAGAGAGCACTATTTCGAAAGGTACTTGGGCGATGGATACCCATTAACAATTGTGAGCTTTTTTCTATCGAAGGTAATTTTCCTCGCCGAACTCGTGCAAGAAGCCACAAACTCCACCTTGTTTTTTGTTTTTGGACTTGATAGTCATTTGTATCAAGATACGAAGGCAATGACCTTGGTAATTTTTTCAAATTCAAGTGGAGGATGGTGGAATTGTACATCAGGAATGTAATTTGGATGACGTTGCTTTGGTGGGCCCAAAGCTTATTCTTTCTCTGTACTTAAAGAGGTCATCCGGAGTCGTTTCCTTTCAAAACAAATTTAAGTGCTGGTCACAAGCCAGTATAGAAATCTTTGGCTTCAAGTTGAGAAGGTATTCCTTGGAACTATAAGACAAGAAAGAAACTGAAGGTCATTAGTCTTGCAGCTAATACAGTTGCTATTACGCTATAGCTCCTAGCAAACTTGGTCATCTAGTTTTTATATGTGTTTCTGGTGGATTTTCATTTATGGACACTTCTCTTTACAGCTCGAGTGGAATGTTAGTGTTGAAAACAATTAGTAGACCCATAAATGGTGGCGACATAGCTTCACTACTCTTGTTATAGTGGAGCTTGGTGATAGCAAAGTACCATCGGAATATGACACTTCAATTCGGCTCTATCTGGTCCTAGCACATAGGAAAATGGATTCCTCGCTGATGGGTAGGCACAACAGATATGCAATGCGAATTGGTTTGACCCTTTAGGACATGGGTCTTTTTACATGTAGAAACTCTAGTCATATTTGAAGCCCATTGTCCTAATGCTCATAGATCCTTAGTAATATATGAAGCCCATTTTCTTTGAGTAGTCTAGCAGTTCGGCCCAACTCCTGTAAATGCGATACATATTGGGATATGTAAATGTGTAATCAGTTCGCGAATGGAGAAATTTATAATACAGAATGAGTAATAGTACGTATAGTACTTACTTTATAGATCCATTTTAATGAATGAAATGAATTAAAACTGTTCTTCTTTCCCCTCTACGTGCCTCTGTCTTTCTCCCTGATCCTTCTTCTCTATCATGGATTCCTCTTGGAATCCCCACTCTCACAATTTAACCCTCATCAATGAACAATAGTTTTCCACCCAGATTGGGAAGAAATGGAAGGAAATAAAAAATTGACACAATTTTGCCCATCATATCATCCAAGAAATGCACTGTAAGGAATCACCTAATGCACAATGACCTTGAAAACAAATCACTAAGAGAACCCAAAATTTCAAGATTTTCACGTTCGAATTTTGAATGAAACGGAATACATATTTCCAAGTTCAGGTCTTCAAATATCAACCATAAACTTTTTATTTCTTAACTTCCGAACTTCTCAAATTGTACTTAAAAGATTTCTACAAGAAGTGTCATCACCTTCAAACATGCATGTCAATTTCAGCACCCATTTATGAAACTGTTCGTGAAACTTTTTATTTCCGATCTGCATCATGGCCTACAGTGTAGTTTCAATGTTTCATACTCCATCTTGCATGAAAAGTTTCAGCTTTCATGCATTATTACACCTTCCCTCATATATAATTTCCTAAACCATGACAGAATTGATTCCACAATCTGATAAGAAAACTTAAATAGTTAAATTCTGCTTCAAGGCTACCTTTCAAAAGAATATCCTCTATATGAATCCAATGGAGGGTAAACAGCTGCAACAATTTTCTTGTGAAGATTGTGTTTCTTTGCAATCAGCGGATCACTTATTAACTTCCAGCCATACTCCTCAAAAATGGTAGTAAAGGCAACAGTCATCAAATCAGCTCTCCATTATTATACCGTTGTCTGGTTGAATGTCAAATATATCTGAAGAAAAAGAACGAGCTTGTTCAGAAATGTAGTCCCAATAGATCTGACAATTAGAATGCAATTTTTAAACACTTTGAAGATCACATAAAACCACATTTTAAATCAAACACCTGCAGCAGGTAAATATGGTTCTAACTTCTATATCTGACAGTAGCATGCAATGACTCAGGGAAGCTACGAAGAAAGCTAAAAGAAATTTGACAAAGGTAATTAATGGCTTGGTGTCACTATGAAGAAACATTATTCAGATTTAGTGATGTTATTGTACGGAAGAACTTTCCTCAGGCAGCAGGTCACAAATCCTAAGTTTCAATGATGTTTCTGGTCAACAGCTAAAGCATTGAAGTACCAGTCACGTCCCATCTCATCCCAAAAACGCAAGAGCAAAATTGACCAAATTAACACACCATAGAAACCAATGGTTTCCATGTTGTGAAGATAGCTTTCGCCAATGTTATGCCGTGGTACATTACAGCTTTTGTTGATTTTATCCCATAATGCAGATTGTAACACCAGATACCTTTGACAACCCTATCCCAGACCCTCTAAACAGAGTACTAAAAAAAGTAAGCAATGCAACTAAATAATTCCATAACCATAGCCATGAGAATCATAAATCACTGCAAGAGATAAAATTTTGCAAAAGTACCTGTGGAGAGTTGTGTAGTTATGAATTATAGTAATGTGTGCCAAATCATGACCATGGACTGGAATCCTTGAGGTGATTTCTCTCAAGAAAAACAAAGGATTCAAGGTAAAAGCGATAGCAAAAATATTCCTTCTCCAATCAATCTGCATCTAGAAGCTGCTCTGAGGAGATCCCCTGACCAGCTGCAAATATGATGATCTCAAAATGACGGGAAACCCTCTCCATAAAATCTGAAGGTGAGGACAAAAATGAACGGAAACAGTATTCTCTTAGGGGTAAAAGTTTATAGGAGACATGACATCTCCATCGTCACAATGTTCTAGTCTGAAGTGCCTCAAAGGGTCTGCAATCAACACCTTTAACTAGTATCAACAGATATTAAAACTAGTTGAGCTTCTTTTTTGCAATTCAACCACAATTTTGACAAGAAAATTCAGTCCTATGGGATAAAACCTCTAGGTGAGTCCAATGAAACTGTTAGAAATGAATCATGGCAATAACTATACCCTTTTACTTAACACAACCAATTCATAGTTGCAAATTCTGGTAAACCCATTGACATCGATCAGAACGTGGCTCAGTCCTACGGATAAAACCTCGGGGTGAGTCCTACGAAACTGTTAGAAATGAATCATGGCAATAATTAGACCCTTTTACTGAGTACAACCAATTCATAGTTACAAATTCTGGTAAACCCATTGACCTCAATCAGAACGTGGCTGCGTATGAAGTAAATGGTAGGACAAGGTATGTGATCTCAAACACGACGGGATGTTTGGAATGATTTATAATAAATAACATGCTTAACAAGGTAAGAAAAATCTATACACAACAAGGCCTTATATTCTTTGTCAAACTCAACATATTCAGCTTCTCACTCAACAATGACACCAAGACAATGCTCAAAGCTCAGAATTATATTATTTTTTCAAAACTAGGATAAGAACATGCAGAAACCAGCTAAAGGATAGAGCTCAGCTAAAAACTAGTACTACTTGTCTGATCTCTCCATGTTAAGCTATTAACTTCACAATCTCTCCGTCTATTTTCTGGATAATTAATTTAGCTTTCTTCCATTTCTCTCCTATTCAAGATTCTCCTTGCATTGACTAACCCATGAGGTATCAATTTAGCCTTGACGTAACCAAGGTGTTCGACTAAATGACTCCATCAGATTGTCACTGTCATCTGTTAGAACTGATTCATTGGCTTTAATTAATATAAAAATTAGTGTTTTTTTTTTTAATAATAACACAGATATTAAGAACATGCATCCTAGAAGTTAATTTTTTTTATTTTTTTTTTTTGAAGAAGCGAAAATCACCAAATTGTTGTAAAACCGACAGTCTACTTTAGAAAAAAACACAAGAGGAATAGAACTGACCGGTTCAATGCAATAAATTCCCAATCGTCAGAGAAGAGAAGAAGAAGAAGAAGAAGATAAGAAAGCACCAGAGGAGGCTGAAAGAGCGAAATTTCTCAAAAAAAATTTGGACCATTTCTCGATTTGTGCGTGTCATCCTTGCGCAGGGGCCATGCTAATCTTCTCTGTATCGTTCCAATTTTATCGGATGTCCCCGAAGGGACGATCATTAGCCGCTTGCGTGCAAGTATATACAATCGCTTCTTTTAATAACTAAGTGATGTGGGATTCAGTTCCATCCCAACTAATTGACGTCACGCGTTTGGTTTCACACGTCATCAGACATCCTGACTTTCTGCCCAGATGGGCCTTTTACCAGCGGACCATTATAACAGCCCAATTGTCTGACTGCTAAAGCCCAACTTTAATCAAGTTGAGTATTTTCCTAGTATTTTAGTACTTGGGGCCCATGTAGTCGGTAGCTGAAGTCTAAATATACTCAAGTTGCAAAGGGTCTCGTCTGTTACACGAAGTGGACAGAAAACAACCTAACACACGACCATAGAACAATGCCCATGTTCTCTTCTTTGCACATTCTTTTTCTTTCACATCTACTTCCACTTTGAAACTCTAAAGTAATGAATAACAATCAAAACGAAGATTCCGTTCCTGTTCCTTGTTTGTGGTTTTTTTGCCATGATTTTGTTCTTGACACTCTTGGTATCGGATCTTTCTATGATCCCTCCCTTCTCCTTCACTCCCACACAAATTTTAAAAAGTTATATATTCATTGGGCTTATATACTAGAAAAAGACTGCTCACCATTAATAGAATCGCGAGTTATTTTTTCCTTTTCGAATACAACTTCAAAAGAAAAAAATTGTGTCAAAAAAGGTGAACTAGGTGGAGTGTTGTGTTGACAATGATTCACTACCCATGATGAATCACCTGACTTAGCTGGCAATGGATCAAGTTCACCAAAAAAGAAAAAAAAAGAAAAAAAAAGAAGGTTCAGTTAACTGAAGCCAAATAGAGAAGTCATATATATCGTTGAACAAGTACATCGAACTTTATGTTAATTAAGAGATGCCTTTACCACCTTAAATTTAAATTAGAGTGCAGGGAAGATAGGTAGGATCAACAGTTAATAGAACTGGCTGATCCTTGAACCCGAAGCTTCAGTGTTACCTACTTCGAAAGCCTTAACTTTTAAGCAAATACACACCGACGTTCCCAGCCATCATTCTCTCTCTTCCCCACTCCCTTTCAATACTTGGTTGCTTAACCAGTAACTCAAAACAGAATGCTACCAGAGTTTAGTAGTCCAAGAACCTCTCACAGAGCTTCCACGTTTTGGTAATCTAAATATTTCCAAGTTCCTGTAACTCCTAAGAGGTCATTAGATGGGTTCGTTCCAAATTGGAATGCGAAGTTCTGCATTAATAGAAACGTCATGTGGATATCTACTTCAAGAATTGCAGGCAAGACTGCCTCTTGGAAATTTTGGATTGTAATTCATCCATGAATAACAGCGTTGCTTTTTTCTTGACGATCTCTTTTCTTTCCTCTTAATGTGAAACAGATGATCTGGGATGAAGTTGGAGAAGATCAGTTTGAAAGAGAGAAGGTTTTGCTGGATTTAGAACAAGAATGCTTAGAGGTTTATAGGAGAAAAGTTGACAATGCAAACATATCAAGAGCTCGCCTGCATCAAGAGCTGGCAGAATCTGAAGCTGAATTCACGCATCTTCTTCTGTCACTTGGTGAACGATCACTCCCAGGACGGGTACCTTTTCATCCATCTGCAACCAATTCACTAATTTGAGCATTCAAAATTGCACGGCATGAACTAAAATTACAATATTAAATAGAACACCAGTACAAAGTAATAGGGATACAAATTGAGAATTCTGGAATCATTCAGTAGTTTAGCAGAACTCCTTTAGCATAAATTACTTCAGAATGATCATTTAGTTAACTTTTGTCATTGTCATTCACATGGCGATGAACCAGCCAGGGATATCTATGCTTCTTGGACAAATTCCATATTGATGATAGCATTGTTGAATGCACATAATGTTCTCATTGACTTTCATGCGTTGATATCTTGTTGTCTCTGCAGCCAGAAAGGATGTCAGGAACGCTGAAGGAGCAGCTAGATGCAATCACCCCAGCTCTAAGGGAGATGCGTCTGAGAAAAGAAGAGAGAGTGAATCAATTTAGATCTGTGCAAGGGCAAATTCAAAAAATTTCTGCAGAAATTGCAGGTCAATCAGTTTATGATGACTCGATAACAAATGTCATGGTGAACGAGAATGATCTTTCATTAAAGAAACTTGAGGAATACCAAATTGAGCTACAAAGACTGCACAATGAGAAGGTAACAATAGCGAATCACAAATCATTTCATAGATATTCATACTCTCATATATGTAAGGGAACTTAACTAATCTTCCTCTTTCGTTGACTTGAAGAATGACAGGCTTCAGCTTGTGGACACATATATTGACACAATCCATGATTTGTCCTCAACGTTAGGAATGGAATCCTCCATGATCATAACAAAGGTGCATCCAACTTTGAACGAATTGTGTGGAATATCAAAAAATATAAGTGACAGTATTCTGGCTAAACTCAATAGCACTGTGGAATCTCTCAAAGAAGAAAAACAAAAGCGGCTTGAGAAGGTAAATATTACTGTCAGTATTGTGGTAACTTTTGGCTTCTACTGTGCAAACCTCAATGACAGAATCTAGCATCTTGTCTACAGAAAGAATACACATTTGAAAATGGCATCATAGTGACGTGTAGATATAAGTGGCAGATACAACAGACGACAGTAACCTGAAACATGAATGATGAAAGAAACCAATACGTTTGATTAAATCACATATATATTAAACAGTTGGGTTCTCTAGATCACATATAAATCAAACAAATTGGATCATCAAAGTTGTTCTTGCTTCAACCATTTTATTTTTACTTATTTAAGGACCAGTTACTAATAATAAAGAACTGGCATAATATACCTTCTCTGAATTTGGCAGCTTCATCACCTTGGAAAAGCACTGACAAACTTGTGGAATCTAATGGACACACCCTATAAAGATCGTCACTCATTTTCCAATGTCACAGGCTTATTATCTCTCTCATCAGCTGAAGTATCAGATCCTGGAAGCCTTGCTCTAAATATAATCCAGCAGGTTGGTATATGATTAACAGCACAATTTACCAGAAACAAATATGACATAATAGTTTGTTGAATCCTTTCAAGGCTGAAGCTGAAGTCAAGAGACTGGATCAGCTAAAAGCTAGCAAGATGAAAGAGCTTTTCTTCAAGAAACAGAGTGAGTTAGATCAAATATGCAATAAATCACACATGGAGATCCCTTCACAACCAGACATGGAAAATATAATAAATCTTATAAACTCAGGTAAGATGGAATGAATTTGTCTTTCATTACTGTTACCAGTTCTAATTCATGTTTAAACTAGTGTTGCCAGTACTAATTGAGACTAGAACAGGGGAGATTGACCATGCCGATCTCCTCATGAGCTTGGACGAGCAGATATCAAGAGCAAAAGAAGAAGCTTCAAGCAGGAGGGCTATAATGGAAAAGGTCGAAAGGTGGACATTAGCCCGTGATGAAGAGCGCTGGTTGGAAGAATATAGCATGGTTAGTATCACCCATTGATCTGCATAATTTATCGGCTCCTGGCATTTACTGTGTCTGCATGATGTTTTGTTTTTTCATGCATGTTTTCAGGATGAAAATCGATACTCAGTTCGCAGAGGTGCTCACAAGAATCTCCGACGAGCAGAACGTGCCCGAGTAATAGTTAACAAAATCCCAGGTAAGAGAAGGAAGTTGGCTGGTTTGCAAAGAACCCTGCAACAGCAAAGAGCATGCAACCATGCCACATAAAAGCCTCTGCAAAACGTGCTACCAATGACCATTTAGATGTAGATCCCAGAGCTAAAATAGTCATTATCAATGGGTGAAAAGGTATGCATTAATCACTAAAATGAAATACTAACTAGAAACCAAGTCAAGGAGTGGTCGGTGAAGTAAGCTATAATAGAAAAATAATTGTAGGATGAAAAGCCTGACTCTATCTTCCTGGAGACAGCTGACCTTGGGTTTGGAAAATCTCATTGCTTTAATATATGCCAGATATATTTATGTATAGGGTAAACCTGATTGTGCAGTTCTAGTGGCATCGCTTGTAGCAAAGACTAAGAGTTGGGAAGAGGCAAGAAACAAAGTATTCCTGTATGATGGAGTAAGTAATTTATTTGCTTGTGAGTTGCGACTCTATTGATAAAATATACTTTTACCGGCATGTATGAACCTACATGAATTGTTTTCATCAAATGTAAAAGAAGGATTGCTTATTGAGCATTTCTAAATAATGAGTTCCTTGCAAATAAAATAAAAAATTGCACACATTATTATCTAGGTATCTCTGCTGGCAATGCTGGAAGAGTATAACATGTCAAGGCAGGAGAGAGACGAGGAGAAACAAAGACAAAGGGTTAGTCCATCCAACACTCTACAGACAGATTTTGATATTTCATATCCATTAATAACGTTTTCTTTATACTTTCTGCAATGTTAATCTTCTTGTTAGCATGAAAAAAAAAAAAATGCCACATTCAACAATGAACTTTATTTTCTTTACCTACTGTATGGTGAGCTAGCTTTTATACCACAGGAAAAGAAGGTTCCAAGCCATGTAGTAGTTGAGCAAGAAAATTTGGTCGGGTCAAGGCCAGACACCAGTAGTCGACGTCTTTCAAACAGGAGTTTGAATGGAGGCCTTAGCAATGCAACCCCTTTAAACAGAAGGCTTTCTCTTGGTCTCCAACAGTTGGGAACCAACAGCATCAATTCTGCAAATCAAGGAATATCTTACATAAGGGAAGGAAGAAAAATGCAAGGACAGAAGATGTTTTCTCGACCTGATCTCACTTCTCATCTTCGAGATGAAGCAGCTTCGATTGTCTCATCGTTTTCTGGGCCATTATCTCCCTGAATTCCAATTCAGATATTCGAATATCTTCAACCATCATCAAAACTCACATATGACAGGAGATTAGACAAACCTTATCAAGGACCAGAAAGATATTTTTTTTATTTTTGCCAAATAATAATTTACCTATTTGCATCAATTTCAGGAAATATACTTGTGTATCTATGTCTTGTACCAACACCTGTGACTAGAAAGCCAAAGAATTGTCATTACAAAGAAAAATAAAAGGAAGCCCTAGGATTTTGTTTTCCTGCCGTTGCATATGTAAGTTACAGTTTACTGTATCAAATAAATTGATATTTAAAAATTTGTACAACTATGTTTGTAGTCAAGAAGCTTTGATTTTCCTATTCTATTGAACCATAATAATTTCCGATAAAATTCAAAAATAAATTAACATAATCATAACAAACCACTTACATTATAAAACTTAAACATGTTCTATTGCATTCAATTAAAAAACAAACAAAGCTAGGACTCATTTATCTGAACTGGAAGTTCTTCATTTGCCGCCTTAGTGAAGAAATGATCAATCCGGCGAGTGCCAGCCGGGGCTGGTTTATCTTCCGTGGTACGAGTACTAATCTTATCACTTGCAGGCTTCTCTGATGACTGAATTGGCAGAGGAAGCGAATCTAAGAGAAAATCGCTGGTAGGCTGGTGCCTTTTAACAGCGACTCGAATGTGATCGAGTTTCACAATCTTTCGCTTCTTTTCGACTGCAACTTCTGCTGACTTCTCTGCGAGAAATCGGACAAACAACTCAGTGGAGCTGGAGACGAGGAATAGAGCATCTGAATTGACCTTGTTGATGTCTTTGTCGAGTTTCATGATTCTCTTGATCCGGCCTGTTGGGAATTCGGGTCGGGTTGTTGTTTTTCTACCCTGTTCCCCTCTTGATCTGCCATCGGAGAATGTGAATTCGATTGGGAGATGGGAACTGGGAATTTTGTGGATTGTGGGGCTTGAATTTTTTATTGGGAAACTGGAGGGGTTGAAGGAAGGGAAATTGATTTTTTAGGGTTTTTGATTGGCGGGAATTTGGGAATTTTCTTAAAGCCTGCTGGCCTCTTGGCGGGAAACATTATTTCTTCGCGTGCCGTGAACGGTGAGCGATAACTAATTTTTCTTATATCGTTTAATTACTTAATTTGAGGGAACGGTTGTATTATCTTTGTGGTTAAATTATAGGGTAAACTTTATTTTTGCCTCTACAAATTAATTAACGTCCCAGAAGAAAAAATATTAAGAATGCAAAAAATAATTAAGGGGGTAAAGTGTTAAGATGTTTTGTAAAAGTTTGAAAAATTATGAATAATAGTAGATACTGGTAAAAGTAAAATCAAATCTTAAATTAAATATAATTGTTAAAAAAATAAATAATATATGTTTGTGGTGTAAGAAGGTCAAGTTTTTTAAAAAAAAAAAGGAAATGACACAAAATCCAAAAAAAATCTCCCTTGAAATTTTTTTTTACCCCCTTTCCGTAGAAGGTTAACATTTAGCCGTGCTTTTGGGGTCAAATTTACTCTGCAAAAGGCGCCCCACCCCCACACACAACATTTTGTACCAAACATAAGTAGTCGGGGGTGAAATTACGAAGGATAGCTTTCCTTTCACCTCCTTTACTCTTATACCAAACATGTTTTTAGTTTTTTTTTTATTATTTTAGTCTTATCCTTAAAAAATAGTGTGGTTTGTGAATTTGTTTTGGTGTTTTTATTTTAATTTTAGATGTTTTTGTGAGCTATGTAACATATATGAGGATTTAGGAGGAAAAAAAGAATAAATAAATGAGGGTGAGATTGGGTTATATGAAAAGAAGTTAGCTTTTGTAAATAATAAAATGTAAAGCTAAAAACTTTTAAAAAAAATACAAGGGTGAGATTGGAAAATTATAAACGATAGGGATAGAATTGACTATTGATGAATTTATAAGGATAGGGATAAAAATACAATTTACTCCAAATTATAATAAACTGGTGTTTCTTAATGGAATCGTAAGATTGTCAATTCTCTCAAAAAAAAATGATATTGTCGCTCAATATTGGTGAAAAAAAGCTAAAAATGCAAACCGTTTATTCGTTGATATTTTAATAATTTATAAAATAAATTTTTTTCATATTGAATTATCATTTGATCACGTAAATACAAATCTTTAAAGATGATTTTTTTTCTATAAAACATGGTGATCATTAAACATTATTGTTTTTTGGTTCGAAAGTGACTCTTAAACCAAGAGGAAACTAGTAAAATTGAAGTGATTTTTTTTTTGTTTAATTGTACAATTTTTTATGCATTTAAGGACGAAACTACACTACAATATTTTTTGGGGGTCAAGGCACCCTTGAAGTTATAAAACCTTTCGGTATGGTTTTTGAATTTAATTTTTTTACACAATGGTTAATCATTTGGCTCCTAAAAATAACATAACTCGCTCTCCAATTTGATTCATTTTTCACGTTTATTCTTATAATTCATGCAAGGCACTCACATTCAAAAATTTATGTTTTCACCTTTATGCGGTTTGGTTACATCATGAATTAATAATAAAACATTTTGAATTATGATTGTTTTGCTAAAAAGACTCAAAGCTCAGTGTAACCGAGTCCGAATGCAAAATCAAAAAAACAAGGTAAGACTTGGGGTCCGACATAAAAAGTGTAGGTCGCGATGAGCCTAGCCCGACTCATCTTCGGATCAAGTCTACTAAAGTCTATTGCATAGAGAGCAACCAACCTAGCAACATCTTGTTTTATAACACATTTGTGCTTTAAGAAGCTTGTTGGACTTTATGGCTAAATGGTAAATTACCCTTGTAAATTTTAATGAAAAAAAAAACATATATCTTATATATGAAAAAAAAAAAACCAAATTTACACGATGAGAATATTTAAGTCCAAATTATAGACTTGATAATGTTTTTGTCCATCATATAATTAATAGACACCACCTAACACTAATTTCTTGCCCCTCTCTCTCTCTCCATATATGTGCTCATCTCCCTTGTTCATCTCTTCCTCAACCTCCCCTCTCTCCTTGTTTCCCATTTCATCTCTTCTTATTTGTTCGGTTTCTCTCTCTCCATCTTCGAGTTCATCTTTATGGACTCAAGCAATAAGTAGTTCGTTGTCGAAAATTTGAAAGCATAAACTCAACTTCTAATGCTTGCAAGGTGCACCAACTTGATGAGAATGTTTCGTTTACAAACAAAGGGATCAAAATACATAATAACCAACCAACTAGAAAGTCCAACAATTTTGTATACGGTCATTGTGGTGAACCATGCCATTCGAAACATAGATGCTATCCGAATGATGGGATTTAAAAAAAAATCAAAAAAATTGTAGGGCAAGCTATGACAACATCTACAAATGAAGCCTAGACCAACGTTGAGGAACACTCAAAGCCTACAACAAATATAACCCACCCGGATATTGTTGGTAAGGAAAATATATTTTTCTACATTCTCTAAGAATATTACTTGGATTATCGATACGGATGCATCCTATCATATAACTAGGGACTTTGGTTAGTTACATCTTATTCATCCATCTTTTCAATATGTTATATCTACGACTAATGATATTACCTTTCCTATTACTAAAAAAAGATATATCATCTTGTCTAATACTCTTACATTAGATAAAGCACTAATTGTTCCATTTCTTAAACATAACCTATTGTCGGTCAATCAAATCATTTGCGCTCTTAATGGGCGAACAACCCAACCCTTGGAACATACTACGGCCCTGTGTGGCGAAGAGCCAACATCGAGGTGTCAAACCTTCTCGTCGATGACTTTTTGTCCTTTATTTTGTGTATTTCAAGACATTCGACTCGAAAATTCTAATTTATGGTGTTAAACAAGAAAAACTCTATGACTTGAAATTAACGGAGAATAAGAAACATAAATTTAGTCATACATATCAAGCTAGTAGTGAAGAGGCGACTCGATCAAATATATGGTTATGGCACCAAAGATTGAGACATACTTCATTTGGATATCTTTAAAAAATTGCTTCCACACCTTTTTTCAATTTTTAAAAATTTGAAATTTCATTACGGTATTTGTGAACCGGCCAAAAGTCATCGTATTCCTTGTTTATTAAGTTTTTAAAAAAGTTAAAAATCTTTTGCAATGATACACTCGATGTATAGGCTTTTCAAAAATTCCTTCTATTTCTAAAACGTGTGACTTTGTTACATTTATTTATGTAAATACTACAATGAATTGGGTATCTTTGCTTTAAAAAAGTGATGTTTATACAATATTTCATGAGTTCCATAGTATGGGGCACTCTGTATCAAAAACATATTTGTATTAGGCAATATTATAATGTTATACATCTCTTGAAAAGTTTCTAAGCCGATATGAAATTATGACATCAAACTTCCCGCACTTATTCTCTACGATAGAATGTTTGGCGAAAATAAGGAATAGATAGATACTAGAGGTGGTTCGTGCCTCCCTCTTTGGCATGGACATACCAAGGTTCTATTAGGGATAAGTTGTCAGATTTTTTGTTTACTTGATCAATCGATCACTTTCTAGCATGATAGATTTTCAAACCCTCAACAAAAAATGCAATATTTACTTTTAGTTCCTCACCTCCTAAATCTTGAACCAAGAGTCTTTGGTTGTATGGTGGATGTTCAAATTCCTAAAACTTTATGAAATAAACTTGATCCATATGCAAAATGACGTGTTGTTTTTTTTGGATATTTTGATTTTCGAAAGGGATATGAATGTTTATAATCCACACTCCTAAAAATAACATGTGACCTTGGATACCTCTTTTCGTGAATCAAAGCCTTATTATTCAAGAAAGCTTCGACACCTTTGGTTTAGAGGAAGAATTCTAGAGAAAGGAATGTATTGCAAAAAAGTGGTAGAGAAGATTGCATTTTCATAGCTAGAATAAACGGTTGAAAGGTTTGGGAGAAGTGGTCATCAATAAAATCTTGCTATTTGTCATTAAATTTTTTTTTTATAATAATAATGAGAAATCATAGTCATAATCACCAATGATTATAGAGATAGCGTTGTCCATGTTAATACCGATGAATCGAAGAATCCACTTAAAATGTTTCTCCTCAAGTAATCTTTAATCCCATATCGGAGGAGTCTTTTTTTTCCTTCCGAAAATTTGGCCCTAAGATACTCCCATTGATCAAATAAATGTATTCCAAAAAAAAAAAAACCAATTCAAACCCGATCTTAAAGCCGGTATTAGGTATCTAATTAATGATTATGTCTTCATACGTAGATTTTCTAAATCGTATACACTTACTATTAATCAATTGTCTAATGTATATATTCCTATTAATATACAAGATGCATTAACAAATCCAAAATAAACTAAGGTGATGAGTGAAGAGATAGAGGTTTTGTAAAAAAACTCTATATGGGAATTTGTTTCATTACCTAAAGGAAATAAGACAATTAGATATAGATAGGTGTTCACTGCGAAACTCGTAGCAATTGAAGCATTGACGGATACAATGCAAGGTTAGTTCCAAAAGGATTTACACAAATATATAGGGTGGACCACGAGAGACTTTTTCACATGTAGCTAAACTCAACACAATCGCATCTTCGTATCATTTACAACAAATCGAGAATGGCCTCTCGTAACAATTTGATGTTAAGAATACATTCCTTAATGAAGATTTAGAGGATGAAGTCTAAATGGAGTCATCACGAAAATTAAAAAGAGTTCTTCGATTATAAACAAAGTGTGTAAATTGAACAATCATTGTATGGACTCAAAAGATCACCTAGAGCCTAGTTTGGGAGGTTCTCTTCCGCCATAACGGCTTTTGATTATAAACGAGTAGTTCAAGTCATATTTTATCATAAAACACAAAGAAAGAAAGGTAACAACTTTAATTGTGTATATTGATGATATGATCCCGACATGAATTGATCCATTTGAAATGGGTCCCTATCAATAGCTAATTGGGAGATTAATTTATTTATCACATATGAGGCCGGACATAAACTATGTTGTGAACATCGTAAGTCGGTTCGAGCACATCCCAAGTAAAGAACATATGGATGCGAGTATATCAAATCTTAAGATAATTAAAAGGTGCTATAGAAAAAAATATTATTCTAAAAAGTAATGTCTTCATCATTAAAGGATATACGAGATGTTGATTGGGCAAGAGATTAAACGACCGGAGGGTCTATATCTCGGTTACTTTACATTTATAGAAGGTATTCTCATTACTTGAAAAAGCAAAAAGCAAAAGGTTGTAGCATGATCAAGTACATAAGCAAAATTTCAAAGAATGGCTAATGACGTATGTGAATTATTATAGATTAATAATGTTCTAAGAGATTTAGGAATTGAATATTCAAAACCTATAGATCTTTATTGTGATAATTAGGCGGCTATTGAAATTGCACACGATACTCGTATAACATGACCGGACTAAACATGTTGAAGTTGATCGTCACTTCATTAAGAAAACAAAATATCAAAAAGTTATACGAGTTTTCATTTGTCAAGTCAAAAAGTCGGTTAGATAATAAACTCACAAAAAGCAGTCTTAAGAAAGATATTTTATGATATAATCAACAAGTTAGACATAATAGATATCTATGCTCCAACTTGAGGAGGGATGTTGGCATCTGTTGTTATGGGCTATAATTCTTAAGTTTGGTTTCGTGATTATAGGAATCGACTATAATTCCTAATATTGATTTACGATTATAGAAATCTAATAGTTGACCTAATATGCATATTAATATTAGTATATTTAGTTTCTTTATGATAGGATTTTGTTTATTAACGTGAGAATATTTAGTTTCCTCCAAATAGTATTATTTCCTACTTAGGATTGTTTTTTGTTTTAAAATGTAATTGTTCTTATATATTTGCTTTAACTAGAGAATGAACTATAATAATAAAAACCCATTGCTCAATATAATTTAATTTCTTGAATTGATTGTTTCTATATTAGTTTGCTTGTACAATGGGCGTAAGCAAACAAACCCATCCTCGTAACTCTAATGGCTTAATTATACAAAACAATGCTATTGAAGTTGAATTGAATCGGAGGAAAGCATCCAAAGTGGGGGAGGAAGAGTTAGTTGGTATTGATGAACCATGTTATGGGGAAGTTGAACAAAGTTATTGGGCTTCAAATTAGCACCATGATATATCTAAACTTGTTTTAAATATTTGAATTCAAAAGAAGAGTATTCTAGTTTTAGAATGACATCGGATTTTTAGCAAGATTCTTCGAGTATCCGTTAATGTTTTGTATGTTTAATGTCAATGAGTCTATTCTTGATTGTATCAAGTTAGGACATTTGTTTGTGTTTTTTTCTCTTCCTTTTCTTGAAAAACAAAGTAAATTGTCATATATGTTGTCTTATGTCGATGATTTGGAAGTGCATGAATGGAAAAAAGTGAGAAATAAGGGGAGAAAGAGAGAGAAGGGGTTGAGGTAGAGATACAAAAGGAAGATGCACACGTCTACGAAGAGAGAGAAAGCGTGAAGAAATGGTATTAGGTGGGATTCATTGACTTGGACCCACTAACGAGTGGGATAGATGAAAACCTTAATCATTAGTTAGTTTGCATTTTAATCTTTAACTAATTTAGTTCATAATGTAAAATAATATTTTTTGTTCATGGGAGGATTTGTTTTTTCATCAAATTGACAAGAATAATTTACAATTTAGTCAAAACTTTAAAGTAGTGAATCCAAATTGAACTTAAGCCTTATGTTCGTAAGCCAATTTGTTTATTTTTTGCAAGAAGATGTGTCTTGTTTCGCTTTTTGATTTGATTGGAAATGACGATTTAACTCAAATTTGGTGATATCTATACGAAACGATTTGAATAAATATTCAAAATCTTTACTTTTAGATAATTGGATAGAATATGAATATCACCAAACTTAATCTTTGGTCCGATTTAAACCTAATCCAAAATATATCTATTATATACATATATGTAAATTATTTATAGTTTATTGTTTAATGTAATATATACGTACTCCAATACTAATATCACATGCACAACTATCAACAAAAAATTATTACACACACATATAATCTTTACAATTTTGATGCTCAAACTCGGTGTAAATTTTTTATAGTTTATATATATATATGTTAAATAATAAACACCGATTAGGTAATAAAATATTGAAATAGAAATCCAAAATTCCATGAATATAGATATTTAAATTTTTAACTAGATAAATAACAAACAAGACACGAATATATTAGAAACTCGATGTGTGGATATATACTCACCACTCGTCTTTGTTCCTAAACTTGACTCGCCACACTCCTAACCTCAACGAACAAAGGATGGGTTGAATGCAAAACATGTATTTTTGATAATTGTTGGTTTAATTATATTTTATTTTCAAAATGTTCGATCTTTTTTCTTTAGGGATGTCGTTGGTTGCTCGGATCCGCAACCAGCTTGTCATTTTACTTTATTCGAGTCTTTCATTTTTTCTTAGTATTTTATCTATTAGATCTATTCATAAAATCAATTGTTTTTTTGTATGAATCCTTGTGCTTTGTTATTTGAGATGAAATATCTAATTTGACAACAATAAAGAGTTTTAGTAAAATTATTGGCTTGATTTATTCAGTGTCCAACCAAACTTTTTTTAAAAATTTGTGAAGATATATACTATTCAAATTATCATTTTATTCATAAAATATATAGTTTTGACTCGTTCCACGTGTACTTTAAATCACTTGTTGGTTCATAACTTCTACAAGCCTTGCAATACGCAGTCGATTTTTGAAATTTCACTTCAAAATAGTTGCTGATTATAGTTTAAATTTATTTACACTTGATTATTCAGATTTTTATGCTCTAAGGGTGTATTAAGTCTTCGTAAATTTCTTTACCGTAATGGCTGCGAAGGTTTTTTCATAACTTTACTTGGTGAAAGTTTACAAATGCTTGAAAAAAAAAAGTCACAAAGCCATCGGCCGAGGTGGCATTGACAAATGTGGGTCTACGTCCAACAGCTTCTTTCCACGTGCCAGGCAAAAAAATCCAAGTAACAAACAGTTATAAAGACCGTCAGTTTTTCAAGTTTCTCCTTCTTTTCTCCTTAAACCCTAGCTATACCTCTCTTTAAGCCTCGACGGAACCGAATAGTAGTACCAAAAAAGAGGGTAAAAAACAACTATGGAGTTCTCTCAAGATGATTTCGATCGTCTCTTAATGTTCGAGCACGCTCGTAAAACCGCTGAAGCTACCCACGCTAGAGACCCTCTTGATGCCGATGTGAGTGCTCTGTATTCTTCACACGAATTGTCGTTCTGTTTAATTATCTGCTTGTTCCAGTTTTTTCCATTGTCAATTCTGCTTCTTCTTTTTTGTCTTTTTTTAATTTTTTTCTGTTCATAGAATTATGTTTCACTTGATTATTACTTGTTTGTGTGTTAGATCAAATACAAATCTCTCATCTGATATATATTGTTTAGTATTTAAAGGAAAAAAAATTATGTATCAGTTATCATTATTCCTAGTGATTTGTTAACATTAAAGAAGGGCGGCGTGTTTTGCAGAACTTGACTAAGTGGGGTGAGGCATTGCTCGAATTATCGCAATTTCAAACGGTGGTAGATGCAAAGAAGATGATAAAGGGTACTATATTTTGTTTGTTGTTATAATCACCAATTCACAATTGAGCAAATTTTCTGGGCATTATGTCATTGAGGGGCTTTCTTTATTGTACAGATGCTATCTCGAAGTTGGAAGAGGCATTGATGTTAAATCCAACAGCCAATGCTATGTTCTCTATAGGAAATGCCAACACTTCTTACGCATTTCTTACTCCTGATCTTGATGAGGCAAAAAGTTATTTTGACAAGGCAGCTGATTACTTCCAACAAGCGATTGATGAGGTAATTTTGGAGTTTTTGGGCTTTGATTTATGTTGAAGCGTATTAGTTTCTTGTAGTCTTTGCTGAGATGTAAGTTATAACTTTACAATTTTGATTTTTGTTAATCCAGGATCCAAATAATGAGCTTTATCTCAAGTCTTTAGAAGTTTGTGCCAAGGTATGCTTTGCACCTTTCTTTTCTCTCACAAAGAAAAATGAGGGTGTAAACTGCTGTTTCTTTTTGTGTATTTGGTGGTTTTGAAGCCTACCCTCTTAGACTTCTGGTATACAATTTACTAATTATGCGCTATATCTGCTATTAAAGCAGAATTCACCTAGTATTTTACCAGAAAGTAGTGTTGAAATACAAAAGGTACATCTTATGTTTGCATATTTTTCTATTTGAGGTTTTAGCTCTGCATGGAACCAAAAAATAGAAAACCATGAAGATATTATATAGATCATCGTTATTGTCAGCTTTTTTAAATCTTCAATATTTTCCTTGTTATTCTGTCCGTGATGTTCAGATTGAACATTGCAAATCAAGATTTAGCTTTTCCAAAACTTCTCCTGCCTATCATGATCAAATTAACTCCACTTCTGATTATGCGTTAGTACTTTTGGGAAGTGATCTATTGGATTAATTATTGACATATGTCCCTTCTTGTGTTCTGTCTAAACATGTTGTTGACGATATCTTTACAGGCTCCAGAATTGCATATGGAGATCCATAAGCAGTCAAGCAGTCAACAGATTATGGGTGGGGGATCTTCTGCTTCTTCAAATGCGAAGGTGAGAAATTTAGGAGAGTTGATTGTTTCTAAGTTTAGCCCAAGGCAATACTTGCTTCGTTGTTTACTTTCTCCCATTCTTGGAAAAAAAGTGTGGTTCCTCTCTGCCCTCCCTCCTTTTTTTTTTTTTGAAAATAAAAAAGGAAAAGTAGTTAGAGGATAGATTTTTTTAATGCAGCATAAAAATTTCATCATGCATGGGCTTTTGAATGTGCTATACTGTGACATACTTTACTGTGACATGGAGTTAGTTTCCTCTTTGAGTAAAAGAAAGGGTTTGGAAAATATAGGGATATTCAAAGTTGAAAAACCAATCGGAGGTTTCTCTCTCCTTTTGGGATGAAAAAAGAAATCTATCAAGAAAGGAAACAAAAATGCTGCCTCCAAATTAAATCCTAATGCAAAGCCTTCCAATATCCCTACATGTCTGCTAAAGAAACCTATAAGAATATTACAGATCTTGAGCATCTGGATTTTGGCATCTTAGAATGTTGTATAGAACTTCTAAAGATTTCTGATGGGGGTTCTTGCCAGGTTAAAATAGGAAAGTAACCAAATAATTGAGACAGGTATGTTATGTTATGATTAAAGGGCAGACATTCTAAAAGCCCAAGGGAGATGTTGACATTCTAGTCCACATCCAGTGGAGTAAAGTGAAGTAAATTGTAGTAGCAGTGACTTAAATTTGGGGAGGAAAGAGAAATAATCCTTCGAATGTAGAGTTAAATAAGTTCTCACACCACCTCGTTGGTTGTACCTTTCCCCCTCCCTGAAGTCTTGAGCTCGACCCTTCCTGAATAAAACAAAAATTGTTAAGGGTTAACTTAGTTGTGTGTGTGAAGAGTCTGCTGTGCTTTAAACCAAGGTGTCTTACTATTTACTCTCTGCTTTTCTCTTCTTATTTTTTAGGGGGAAAAAAATCCGGAGAAGTATCTAGTATATTAGCATGAGGCGTTGTTAGTTTTTAACCCCTTTTTGTTATTTGCAACTTACCATGTTTGAATTAAAGTCTCTAGTATGCTGCAATAATAGTTCGATCAGCAATTTTTCCTGCAAACTATATTCAACGTACAGTTGATCAATAGTCCTCTAGTTCCAGTCTGTGGTATTTACTTCATATTCTCTTTGTTTTCTCTTTTTCTTCCAAATCATGTGATAAGGACTATGACAACAGATATTTCAATTGCGTGAACACTACACCCACTACTATACGGTTATTAACAATTATGTCCTGCTTGCCCTCGATACCATTGTGCGGATTAGATTGTGGTCCTGACAGAATGAAGCTGTTTCACTGGTAATATGTACAACTGCTGCCGTTGTGCACATGGATTGTTAAATTTTTTAACAAATTGACACTAATGCACAGACTACAAATTGACTTTAAAGCTTGCATGCTGCTATGTGCTTGCTATTCAAGCATATATGTGTAGTTCAGTGGTGCTTACTTTCATGCATGGCTTATGCATATGGTGGAAGAAGGTCTTCGATCTCACCTATCCAATGCTAGCTTGATCAATCAATTAAGTTTTTGTAAGTCCTTCAGATAAGTAAAAACCTTAAGTAAGTGTTTTTGTTGCCTAAATTCACACGATATTCAACACTTGGAGCTTAAACTTTTTCCTTCATTCTGGTAAGAGCACCTTGTGGTTTCTTGTCGTTGATGGATGCCGCAAGTTTGACATGACATAAGGTCCTTGGCATACCAAGTCCCTAGAAATCCAGAGAAACATATCAAATCCATGGTTTGTAATTCAATTTAAATACGATCTTTTTGTAAGGGTTTGGTTCGAGAAGTGATGGTTGGGCATGGGTTAATATGGAGTTCACACCGACTGTTTTTCCAAAAGTCACTACATTAAACTTTCATTATATATTTCTCGAAGCTTCACTAGACATTTCTTTCTATTTCAGGGCTCCAAGAAGAAGACAACCAGTGATCTGAAGTACGATATATTTGGATGGATTATCCTTGCAGTCGGAATCGTTGCATGGGTGGGGATGGCGAAATCCCATGTTCCTCCTCCTCCTCCTCCTCCTCCAAGATGAGCTTGAAGTATGCCAATATCTTTGCAAGAGCGTTCAAATATCGATCACAAGGTTCCAACTGGAAGGCATGTGTATTCAGTTATACATGTGGTATGCTACCCGTGTGTTGATTTTTACCTTTTTGTTTCTTTATTACTTATTCAGCTAGAAATATATTTTTCATGCAAATTTTAGTTATTTATATCTGTTGGCAGTCTTTCAAGCTTTGCTTATTTCCCTCTTTCATTCGCTTGGGTGGTTTGATGTCATGAAACCATCCCACCACCCGTAAAAAGGTTGTGGAATTAATTCCGTTGCGACAGGCTTAAGTTTGGTGCCATGACACATGTAACGCAACCATGTATCACCCAGAACCGAACACTCGCAAATTTTGAATTTGGTGGTTCCATCTTTCTTCATTAACATTTAAAAAATAAAAAAACCAAATTTATTGTTTACTATTCACTTCACTGTTCCAAACATTTTTCATCAAGATTCATCATCTTATTTCTTTTACTATGTTGTGAAGTTGTTGTAATTTTCAAGTTTTTTAAAATCATTTATTGTGAAAGTTATTGTTTCGTTACATTTTGATTCTTTCTTTTAAAATATTATTTTTTTATCTGCAAATTCATTTTTGTTTTCATTTTGATCCTTACATGTTAAGAGTAGAGAGAATAGAGGGGAGAGACAGGGTTGGCAAGACTCATTTCGATCATCTGATGATTCAGTTTATTATTATTTTATTTATCTTAAAAAGTAGAATTCATTTGTGGTGGCAATATATAATGAAATGAATGAAATGATCGGAGGAGGTAGATCGAAATTTGAAGATCTTTTTGAGTTTTTTTTTTATTTGAATTTTTTGTGCATAAAAATGAGTTTTGAAGTTTTTAACAAATTTTTTTATATATTTTTTTTGTGATTTTGAAGTGTTTTATTTAAAAAAACGGAGTTGAAATTGGTTTCGGAGGCCGAGGATTGAAAAACTTGACTTTTAGCGACTCTTCTGTTGAGATCGAACACCTCAGAAATTGCAGTGGTTGTCAAAAAAAAAAATTTTTTGGTTTTTCTGTCCAAACCTGCGAGGGCCTAGTCGACCAGGCCCAGGAGCTTGAGTCAGCTAACTGGGCCTGGTTTTTAAGGTTCAGGCTCTCAGGCTAGTTGCGCCAGGCTCAAACATGCAGACTTGGTTCTTGCTTTTATTTTTAATTAAGAATTTTTAGGGAAAAACTATAAAATATTGAAAGTTACTATTTGTATTTTTCATATATATATATATTCCTATCCAATTAATATTTCTTTTTTATATAAAATTTTATTTATTGATAAATATGACTAATTATTCTCTAAATTTGAATTTTAAAATAAAATTTTTAAACATGGTTTTTTTTTCTTATAATTTTTAAATGATAATTGAATATATATAAATATATAATTATTTTAATCTAAAAAGTTAAAATTATATTTCAAATAATTTGTCTTAGTTCACTAGTTATGATCAAGACGTATAAAAAAAATCTATTGAATCATTGATTTCATTGAAAATTAATTATACATCTTTACATATACCACCAGCTATTTGGTATGATTTTTTTTTTTTTTTAACATTATAGAAACAATTTTTTTAAAAAAAATCAATGAATTATTCAATTTTTAATGCTAACATTATTGATTATTCGTAAATAAATATATATAAATCAAATATATATACTTTTAAAAAATAATTTTCTCATCAGCATTAAATAATGATATTTTTTATTAGTTAATTTTTATATAAGTCATGATATTAATTGTAACTTTATTTTTTTGATGCATTTTTATGAAAAATAAAATTTTAAAGTATTTTTTTATTCTTGATTAATATTCTAGTTTAAATTATTATAATTTTTTCTTTAACAATCAATGCATAAAGAAGAATAAATCATGTTTTTTTTAATAGAAAATTTATGAAAAAACATAAAAACAAATTAATTAAATAAAAAAATAAAATTTTCAAATAATTTTGTTCTGTACAACTTGTAGCATAGTATGGGTAACCAGTTAGTTGAAACTAAAATAAAATGTTGCAGTTGGGAGGCAAACTGCACCCATAGCACAGAGAATCTGAGAGGAGAGAAATTTTTCATTCTACATCTTTTGATTCTTATGTGAACCTTACTGTAGCTTGGCAAATGAATTTTTTACTGTGGTAAGAGGTATGGATACTCAGAATGACAGTGAAAATCAGGAAGTCAAATGGCTAAGAGGAACTATTTTCTTGTACGAAGAAAGAACTGAGACCATAATAGTGCTAATACATATATGAATACACGTACCTCCTCCTTTCTCATTGCTCCCCTCACTCCATAGGATTATCTTGACCCCCAGTTGGACATCCACCGTGTAAAATAAAATCTCCTGTAATGAAGTTGATCTGATTTGGCAACAGACTCTGTTTACTGAATGCTGTTATTTTATTTCTTGAAGTGTTTCTGTTGGCAGTCATTGTGATACGATGTGAATCTGACAGAATCCGATATGGTATAAATTCTTCAATGTTTGTTTAGTGGTGTTCTATTTTTGTGTTTTTGGTTGTTACATTCGACAATACCCACTTGAATTCCTTTTTTATTAGCGATGTTTTATTTTTGCTCCTTTTATCCCCTTGATTACAAGCTGGATTCATGCGTAGCCTGTGCAGTATCATATAACTGCCCTGGTAATCGGTCTATGGTTGTCGAAGCACTTAAAGTTATATAGGGGCCACGAGACGAGACCTGGGGTAAATGGGCATATTGGTCTTAAAACATGGCGATGATGTTAATTTTTTCTTTTGATAGCTGATTCATATTTCATGCAGGAATGTCCCTAGCCTTTAGTTCCCAGGTATTAGGGAACCGTGGCAGGGAATCTCTACCTCAGGGTGTTTTCTGTTGTCTGTGAATCAATAGAATGTCTAATATACCTTCAAAAGGATTCTCTCGAATTAAACCCTCTGTTCATGGGTGTAGCATGCTGAAAAATGTTGTTTCTTCGGGCGGAAACATAAACAAGTTTAAATGATATGTTTGTCAACAATTTCTATGTAACAAAAAACCATGTCCAATCTTGTTTCCTTTGCGCTTCTCTCTTTTCCTGGGGCATTTTGCTGACTACCCTATTAATTTTGTGCGGCTGAGTACGACTTTTAGCTCTGTGAAGATTCATTAGATCTATTGTTTGAGAAGTTATCCATATTCCACAAAAAGAGGGGAGAAATGCAATTGTAGCTTATTTTATTCCAATCTGTCCCTATCTGGTTTCCACCCTTGTTCTCAGTGGGATCCAATGTAGTGGGCAACGGCTTCTTTCTTCTTTCGGTAAAACCATATTCTCTGTGGCATTAATTTAGAAGTATTTACATGACCATTGGTATCATGATTCCTCGCTGATTATTTATTAGATCTTATTGGCTGCATCCGCTGCTTTGGGCCTTTTTTTTTTTTTTTTGTTCTTTTCAACTGCATCACTTGGTGTTTCAATGTGCCTTGTAATTTGGTTCCTCATTTCTTCCACTGTTATTTCTTTCTTGTAAAGCACCTGAGTTATTTATATTTTGAGCAGAAGATTCCTGGGTTGATTTTGAATTTTATACCGACAGATAAGAGTTCCAAGATGTCATCCCATGTTTTGGTTTTTATCTTGCAGGTCCAGCTAGTTATTGTTTAGCGGCTTTAGTTTAGCATGCTGCTGGTGCAGTTATTTGTCTTCCATGCAGGTATCATAGTGATAATTACTTTTACCTGCTGCAGCATTGACTTGGCTGGCAGTCCAGCAGCAGGATCCTCTTTCTATGTCCTTAGGGTACTATTATACTGGATAGTTGAGGAATTTGATGCCAAATTAATGATTCCTTAGTGGAATCAGAATTGTCTTGCTGTTTCAGGTCCACCACTTTCTCTAATTGGTCTGTAGTGGGTTGTAAGCTGGCAGATTCATGCTGGACACCTTTCCATTAGTGGAAAGAAATCTCTCACATTAAGGCTTGTGTTTTTAGGCAGACTTGGAAACAAGAACTACGATAATGCTAAAGTAATTTGAAGTTAACTAAGCATTCCACTTTGATTAGCTGTATTGGGTATCTTTTAAGGGATTTTGGCAGAAGGTGTGATATAGATATACATTTTTGTGCCGCAAAGACACCTTACTGTAGCATAGTTGTCAATTCCATCCTCTTTCATTGGCTCCTATTGGTGAAATTTTATTGATGGCTTTTGTCTTGGATTTGTTTTTCTGCAACTTCTATCTTCCCCTTTCTATGGTTCTTCCATCCAATAGTTGCTGGAGAAGCAATACAGAACTTAGTGGGGTGTTTTATATTACCTTCCGCTTTGCTTTAATAAAGTTTAGCACTCATTATCATTATCATCCTGCTATATTCTACACACTACCATAGACTTGCCAAATTTTGCGGAGGAGAAAACATCCACGCGTCTTCTTGATTTGCCTTTCTTCTGAAGGATACGTTTTGCAGAATTAATATGATATGTAGATTTAGTTATAGTATGCTCCAATAATATATGAATGAATGCTTTTTATGAGGAAAAGCATGTAAACTATTAGATAGTTGCACTAGGAAATGCTTCTGCTGGTCCAAGTTTCTCTGTCCATGATTGTGGTTTGTTCAGAAGACAATAGGAGAGAAAGTGGGTGTCTGCATGCTGAAAGACTTATGATTTGTGGACTAGTTGAAGAGCATGGCGGGGATGATTTCTTTCCCCCTTTTAAGCAGGGACTATCGAACATGTTTGAACCGAATCAACTATTGCGAGTACTTTATTTTTCAATTTACTTGGTCGTCATTCGTTGTTCTTTCATGTATTCTGCATTTGTGCGTGCAATTCAACTCACATTCAGTTTTAAAACCAGTTGGGAATAAACCTTGCAGACAGCTTCCATTTAATTTGTATCGGCTAAATCAGTGTCTTTGGATTATTCTAGTATACCCCATCTTTTGTTCGTTTTTTTCCTTTTGTGTCAACTATTTTAATCAATCTTTG